GCCTATGTTGAATACACATACCAAAAATGTACAATTTTAGAAAAGCCGATTTAGGTAATTTAAGAAAAACTACAAATTTTAATTTAAAACTGAACGGGTAACAATGCAATATCAGTCAAATGTCAACATATTTTAAGTTGTCAACCTATGATTTTATCATTGTCAAATTTAATTTGTTGTGCTGTCTACACTGGTCTACACTACTACCTTATAGTACCCATAAAATAATTAACTAGAATAGTACCTACGCTCAGTGTTTCCAAAATGTATTTTTGGGGTTAACTTTCGTTTAGCTGAAATCAGTTATTAGAAAAAAAAATTGTCTTTAAAAAGCTACTGTGAACCACGGAAAACACAAATTTTTCTGCGGAAATGCGTAATTTCCAAATTTCGCACTTTAGAATAACTGAAATCTGCTATAAAAAAATACATTTTTCGTTTTATTTTTAATATTTTTCTGAACATATAAACATCAAAATTTTCCTGCGGAAATATGCTGTTTTCATTTTCTAAGGAAATTCATTAGACTTTAGAATAGCTGAAATCAGTTTTGAGGAAAATAAAAATTTTCCTGTGGAACTAAACTGTATCCATTTTCTGAGGAAATTTAATAGACTTTAGAATAGCTGAAATCAGTTATATAAAAAATAAATATATTTTTGCCTTTTAGAAGCGTTTACAAACTCAGGAAAATAAAAAATTTCCTGCGGAAATAAACTGTATCAATTTTCTGAGGAAATTTAATAGACTTTAGAATAGCTGAAATCAGTTATATAAAAAATAAATATATTTTTGCCTTTTAGATTTAGCAATTTTTTTTTTGGTAGAAAGTCCTATGCTTATAGAACAGTTTAAAAGAAAAAAAAAATCCTTGGATGAAGCACTTTTGAATCAAAAAATTAATTTAAAAGTGTCTAAAATTCTAACCAATCCCCTGTATACATTTAAGGAAGGAATAACATTTTTCTGTAAAGTTTATTTCTCTACTTTTACACTCAGCACAAGAATTAATTCTGAAAAGTAATGTACAGGATGTTAATAATCTATTCTATTGTAGCATGCAAATTTAAATATCTTTAAATATCTCAGAAACCACAGATTTTAAACATATTTAATCTTTATAATAAATACCTTTTTTTGGACCCAAGAATCCAAAAATGAAATAAAATACCGGGTGTTCCATAAGAAAAAATATAACTTTGGTACGGATCTTAGTGCTGTAACACCCTGTACATTTCAAAATAATTTTAAATTGTGCACATTACCTACCCACATATACCCATAAAATATTTTGTTTCTACATCTTTCTGTTTTCGTATAATCAACCTAGGCGAATGAGGTGCGCCACCCTGTATATTTGTACTTCTAACGCCTTCTAGAACGCATATTATAAAGTCATTTTATATATAACAGATTTCAGCTAAACGAAAGTTGAGCCTATTTTTGTAATTTAAAACTGGTTTGAATGAGGCAAAAACTTAACGTTCAAAAAAATATAATTTGACATTAAGACAACTAAGACAATTAAGAAGTACGCTGGCATTTGTCTTGTTTTGCATTGTTACCTGTTTAGTTTTATTTAAAAATAGATGCAGTTTTTCTTAAATTACTTAAAATCGGCTTGTCCAAAATTGTTCAAATTTGGCATATGTGTTCAGCATGCGCATATTTTTAAAAAACCTGTTTACGACTTTGCTGTAAAATCAACAGAGTAGTCAATATTTGGACAGTTCAAAATTTGAATACGATTTCTTGTTTTCAACGACAATGCAACACCCGGTATATATTTTTAACCTATAACTTTAGAAATTCTTTATTATCGTTACCCTAGAAAAATCTATTTCTTTAGTTATTTTTTACATAATATGTATCATTTTTGACACATAATACACTACGACACTAATTTAATGTATAAAATAGTACTGAATCTCACCTTATTTTATCTAAACAAAATGTTATTGTTTGACAACCTTTTTTTTACATATTTCTGCTCTTACAATAATTATTGAATTGAACTTTGTGTTAAAAAATATAAACAAGTTTTATAATCTATTGATTTAAAATCTTGAGTTGACTTCACAATAAATATTTTTTGTTTCATTGTAATAAATACAAAAAAAATCAGTGATTAAAACAGAAATATTATAAAGCTATCACATGCAAATGTTAAAATATACCGTATGATTGAAAAACAACGGCATCAAGTTGGCCTGGAAATGACGATCGATGATATTTCATAAAGCTATAATTTTACATATTATGAATCATCAAAAATTAATAATAAACTTAAATGAATAAATTAATCTTACTAATTTAACAATATTTTAAATGCCTTGTTCATATTTGAAAGCCTATATTCTATATGTACATGACTTAATAGTAATTAAAAAAGCGTAATTAACAACCTTTAAAATTTTATTAACATTGCAAACATACTGTCACATTTTTGAGCTCAACATTTTTGGACACTAACATTTAATTTTGAATTATTTTACTTCTCAGTTTGTTTCTTTTTATATTAAGTATGTACAGTCAACATTTATCAAAAATGAACTTAAAATTTATTGACTATATTTATAATTTGATCAAAATTTAGGTATTTTTGATTATCTGTTCAATTATAAATCCATTAGCATTCAAAATCCAAACTATCAAGAACGTTACGGAACATTCTAACAATATTTATCTGGCTAACTTTCAAACATCAAACGTAGAAACACTCACCTCATTATGATTATATTATTATGGTCTATTCATCCAACAAAGACTATATGTTTTTCTTAAATAAAATATATTTTTTGAAGATCTGTTGAATTTACCGGGCAAACCCGTTTTTTGAAGGTTTCTGGCAGATTTATAGTTTGTGATATTCACTCTCAACATTTTTTATAAAATATTTGACAAATAACTGTTCACATTTTAAAACGTGTTTGTCAATATACAGTCAATTTTAATAAACCACTAGGTATAGAATATTTTTTGATTGTAAGACGTAACATTCCACTTAAAAATATCCAACTTTAGTTTGAAAATATGTTTGTATCGCCCTGTATATCAATAAATAGATTTAAAAATGTGTTTTATCATTGCCCACATATTTTGTAAAAAATACTGGAGTGAAAAATGTTATGTTGTTTTCACCCTGTATTAATATCCTGGTTAATAAAGTATCATGGTATATTTATACAGGGTGAGTCTTAAATAAGTGCAAATATTTTTAGCGGTTGTATATTTCTACCCCGGAAATATGTCCGAGTTTTTTGCGAAAAAAAATTTGATATATTTTGAAAACATTTTTGGATTTTTTTTAAATCTTTGTTTAAAAAAATAATATCTTCATAATATGGTAATATATGTAGGTAGTAAATTAAATTTACAAGAAAGAAAACCCAGAAAAGATCCAGTGGTTCTCAAAGTTTCAGCGAAAAATATTTTTTTTATGAAAATTTCAAAGTAAAAAACGGCATAGAGAAAATGTATATCTTTTATCGAGATCTATCAGCCCTAAAAATATTTGCACTTATTTAAGTCTCACCCTGTATACTTTATACGGCATTATATTCAGAGTGTAATATTATACAGTACGATTGAAAAAAAGCATCGTCAAGTTGGCTTGACTCCAGTAACACCATTCAGTCATCTATACTAGAAGATTGACAAAAAACTCTCACTGTTAGAGTCCACTGTTAATCCAAGCCAACTCTGACGCCAAGTTTTTATTCGATCGTACACTGATAAAAAAGATAGACTTGAACTAAAGTCGTCAACGTTCTTGAAAAAAAAATTTAGTAACAAGAGAATTTATTTTAGCGTAAAAGAAAATATTTTGCCTGAAGAAAAACTCTCTTAACTTAAGAAAACTGGTCTCTGAAAAATTGGAAAATTTCTCTTGAATCTATTTTCATTCAACCAAGTGCAAGTTACTTTGTTTTAAGATACTAAGAAAAATACGCTAGGAAGTACTTCATTCAAGAAACATGGTCATTTTTCCAATAGCTAAATACTCTTTTGATGAAAAATAATAACGACACGCAAAGACGATGACGAAGGACGATATATACAATCAGTCGGCAGTCCGATCAGTCCTACATCATAGTACGCATGGGTTTTGTTGCTTGGAATTTTCCACTTGGAATTTTGCATAATCTTTTTAAACGCATATCGTATAACAAATTATATAGTGATCGTTATATTAACATGCATTTGTCATTTGGACAAATTTTAGGATATATGGATTCTTTAAAGGAGTTTCTGAAAAAATGGAAATTAGAGCATTTATTTGCTATATTCGAAGGTAAGAGACATTTACCTAATGCACCTATTTAGATAATGCATGGGTGACCATAGATAGAATAAGAATATAGGTATCGATTTTTTTATGCAAATAATTACAAACATTTTAAAATTTCAAGTCGTCATATTAAAAAATTCAAAATGTGAGTAAAGCTAATTTATTTGCTTTACTTTGATTAATTGTGATGTAACATTTCTTTGTAATTTGTAGAGCGATGGAACCACCCCAAAAAATACCAAGGAGTGAAGAAGCAGAAATAACTACTATCGAGGAAAATAATATCACTTTACTTACCACAGGCCAGGAAAACCTAAATTTATCAGAAAATAATATACCTCGTAATATGCCTGGATATGATGTATAGAGTTCTCTTAGATCAAAATAAATTTTAGTCGAGTCAATAGTATTCGCTATTGGTTTAAGAAAAGTGTCTCTTTAATCAAGAAATGTTCCTTTTCAATCAAGAATTTTTGCATGAATCAAAGAGACTATTGTTCTTGTAGCAAGAACTTCTTTGCATATTCATTTTGGGTCAAGAGTGAAATAGGTACTTTGGACTGATAGATTCTTCTATTCTCTAAAGTAATTTTTTAAAGCTTATGAAAAGATAGTTAATGCTTTGGGCAAAGAAACGTCGTTCTTGGCCCTATTGAAAAGCGCCAATCTTTTGGGTCAAAGTCATATTCATTTCGACTGAGAGATCCTTTTTTTCAGTGTACTGTATAATATTACACACTAATATATCAAAAATAATAATATCTGTTTTGTATAAATGTTCATAAACGTTAAAACAAATATACTTTTAGATGTTACAATGCAAATCGACTTAAACTAAGTATGTGGGTTCATGTATTTGCTGAGCAAAAATTGAACTTGATGACAACCTCACAGAAACATACATCACAGTTTACCTACACATACAACAAAAATATATTTATCATAAATACTTAATAGCTTTCTTAGTATTAAATACGGTTTTTAAAATGGTAGTATCCCCTATTTCGCTTTATAGTTCACTAAGTTCACATAAAAATATTTCTATAACACTTAAAATCGTAAAATAAAAAAATAACTAAGTACTAGGCCGTCAGGTTGGAGGTTTTTTCTAGTGTCCGTCTCTTACTGAGTTGTCTCCAGAATCTTCTGTCCAGTTGCCTGTCCTGTCAAACATAAAAATATATATTTTTATCATATTAATTTCTTACGATCTGTCCATTTTAACAGAACGTCAACAGTTTTTATAGACGTACCTATCTGTTTAAAAAAAAACTAAAGTGTTCTAGAACAGTTGCATTTAGATATTTTAAATAGTTTTTTCTTTGTTTTTTGGGTTTTTTAGCTTCTGACGACGGGAAGAGATATACTTCCCGAAACGTTAAGCATTTTTTGTCCGTTAGGTAAATTTGTATTAGCCTTGTTTATATATTCTTAAAGTTGATCAACCGACTAGACAAAATGTGCTGCCAACTGGAAGACAAATCGTGAACCTTTCGCGGCGGAGTCAAAAATATCGATTATTTTCGTTATTTTCCTGAGAGTAATGTAATAAAATAGTCCGGGTTTCTGCGAACTTTAATAGTGATCAGTTGATTAAGAAATTTAAACGAAATTTTTATTTTATTGTAAATTGTGGATTATTTTTGCCTGTTATTTTAAGAATTCTAAACCGTATTAACAAAGAAATTATTATTTCGATATGTTGGTACATTATTTATAATTTATGATAATGCTAATTGGCTGTTATTTAATATTAAAAAAAGTTACATACCTATTTTAATTTGATTTAATGCAGGTTTATAAAAGAAATCATTTCATTTTTTTTTTTAAAACATAAAACTTTTACATTTTTGGTGCCAACTAACTGGGATGGTATTATTGGTATGGAAATTATAGCCAAAAGAAAAGAATTGGCTATAACTTGCAATTTTCGAAAAAAAACATATTATACCTATATCGCTGAAAAGCTTAAAAATGGCGCTTTTATGAAGTCATGGCCAACTATGGTTTCCTTTTAAAAAAACATAATGTTTGTGTCATATGTCAAAAATGACAGGCTTTTAGGAAAAAAACAGAAAACACAAACTCATTAGGTATGTGATTTTATCTACAACTTTTATCTGAAACTTTTTGTCTAAAATACCGTATGATCGAATAAAAATGGCGTCAGCGATGGCTATGAAATGACAATCGATGATATTTCCCATATAATTTTACATATAAAATGACAGCGATCTTCATTCAAAACCAAGCCATCGTTGACGCCATTTTTATTCGATCATACGGTAGATTATAATGGAATTAGAGACAAGTTTTAAAATAGCCAAAATTTGTTTTTTTCGAAATATCTAGTAAGCCTTGAATTTCTCCGAAAAATCGAAAAGGCGCATATTTATGACCCTACAAAACTGCAATTATTCTTTCCCCATTTAACCGACTCTCTATCTCCAGTAGTTTCCGAGATACCCATAGAGAACATCGATCGTAGGAAACTCACCCTGTATAGTATTTAGAAACTAATAGAAACTAACTGTTATTATTATTTGACTATATTAATTTGATTAATAAGACTCGATTTATTTAATTTAAAATAAATTTGATCAGATTTTTTTTTCGTATATTCAACTACCAGAAAACCAAAATTATATGATAACGCACTTTTCAACGAAGTTGAAGGAAGATATAGTGTATCTATCACAATACTTAATAGAATTATTACAATTAGAAGAAAAACAAAAAGAAAAAATACCCAAATACCTCATCTACAAAATAAACTAATATAATCTCTTATAAAAACACTACACTTCTTGTATTCTACCCTGAAAAAATTCTCAAACTTACTAATTAATCAAACAAAAAGAAAAAATAACCAAATTATCCCTTCACCTACTACTTAACTACAAAATAATAAACTATAAAACACTACTAAACTATTTCTAGTATTCTACACTAAACATTATAATTAAACTTAATAAAATTAATCTAATTTTACACTACAACTGCAAAGAAATAAGAACATTTTTTAAAACTAGAAGAAACAGAACTTCGATACGTGCGACCAGTATAATAGATCAAGCGGACAAAGAATATAAAATACTTTAAAAATGTGCATTCAGAAAGAAAAATATCTCGAAAATTATCTAAACAAACATTTTTTTTCTTATCAGTGAAAAGCATCGGCCTCGTCGGCCTTGCGGAATTTGTCGGGTATTTACAATGGTCGAATTGTATAATTACCAGCTTTTATAGCATATCTAATAGATAAAAAGTATCTGGTCGATTAGTAACCAATTGGCACAGTCCGAAAATTATCGATTTTTATTTTCTCTGTTTTTATTGGTCGCTTCAAAATTCAGAGTAACAAAAAATATTTTTCTGTAGTAAAAGACTGCGAAATACGCCCCGCCATCTGGTGCTTTACATCCATAAACGTCTTAGGTTGAGCTACTTTAAAAATTCATATACAAGGGTATTAGTAAGCCACTGCTGACAATTAAGGTACGCGCACACTGACCAGAGCCGCACGCGCCGCATCGACCGAAGAAAAATATTGTTTGCCTTACTTTCAATGAAGGTGCGCACACTAGCCAGAGCCGCACGAATCGCATCGACGAAAATGCGACCAGCATTGTTGGGCCAGAATGATTTTCAGTAAATGCGGCTAGTGCTGCTGACGTCACACGCATTTCCTTCCACTCTACGTATCGTAGGTAGCCGAAGAGGAGATTAGAAATTCATTGAAATATTACATTTTTTCTAGTTCATCCTCAATTAAATATGGAAATAATGTAGATTTTGCCAATATTGTGAGCCTATAACTTTCGATTCTTTCTCGTAATTTCTTCTTCTTCTATTAGCAAGGAGCTCATAATTATTTCTTGTTCGTTGTCATTTATTGTCGAGAAAAATTAAAAAACACGCTTATCACCGCAGACACAGGACTCCGGAAGCGACTGATGAGAAATTCGATTGGCAAATACGGGTGTAGTAGGGGCAAAAAGAAACAAAATAGCGAATAATGCGGCGAGTGCGGCGCGTGCGGCTCGGGTCAGTATGCGCGAGAAAAAAAAGTGCGACTCGTGCGGCGCGTGCGGCGAGTGCGGCTCTGGTCAGTGTGCGCGTACCTTTAGTCTCCGTTGAATTAACGCAGCAGTTTTTACAAAAAATAACTATTTAATTTTGTAGATTTTCTTACAGTGGCGAAATACACATAGAATTATTTTATTTTAGGTATTTTAAATATTTGAAAAAAGAGTATTTGAGAAAATGTAAATTACCTTGAGTCGTTTTGGAGTGACAGACTTTGGAGGGTATGGAATGGGTACCGATTCTATTTCTACCTCATCCTTGGAGAACATTTGATTGAAATTGCGGTTTTCTGGATACCTTTCGTATATCCTTCGTTCAGTTCTTCGGACGTTGAAGAACTCAAATCTGAAATGAAAGAAAATACACTATGTACAAACCTGTTTCTACAATTATTGGCTTTTAGACATTGTAAATGATCGTAAACCCCCTGTATACTAAAACAGGGTGGTTCGAACTCTACTCCGAAAACTTTGGCAGCATATTCTGCAAATAATTTCTGAATTAATGTCAATATTTGGATGAAAATTGATATCTAGGAGTTTTTTGACATGAGAACTTTGATTTTGATGTCAATATGACTCCTGCTTGTAGAGGGCTCCACCTACATATTTTTAACTGGTTTGAAAAGTAATAACTTTTCGTCCGTACCTGTATAAAACTACCTAGTAAAAAATATACATTTAGGAACATCGTAAATGTATATTTTTTACTTTTATATTATTATTTTTATGTAAAAAAGTATATTGGTAAAAATCGCTAGAATTAATGGTTCTCGAGATATTTGGAATCGAAATTATCAATACCTGTCATCATTGACATAAATTAAACATGTTGACTAAACTGTTATCAGACTGAAATCATAAATTTGAAATGTTTTTGTGCCAAAAGTTCAACAGAAATTGTTTTACCATTATTTTTTTCGATGAAAAATTTATGATTAATTTAAAAAAATAAAAAGTTCCCCAATTTATCATTTCAGTCAAATAACTATCTACTCGACATGTTTATTTTTTGTGCATAATGACATGTATTGACTATTTCCATTCTAAATATCTTGAGAACGGTTGCTCGTAGCGATTTTTATCAAGAGACATCTGCAGAATATGCTGCCGAAGGTTCCGGAATACAGTTCGGACCACCCTGTAGAGTATAATAGAAATCACTAATTTCGAGGTTCTGAATGAAGCTTGAGTTTATAAATTTGGAGTGTAGAGGTAAGGAGAAATATCTTCGATGGCACTGCTGTGGCAAAAACCTAAGATTTAAACATGCGCCGAAAATTTTTAGAACAGGAAATGATTCAAAAGAGATAAATATTTGATGTGAAGGCGCGGGTTTAAAAACATACAAATTTTATATTCATGTCACGTGAAATAAATTATCGATTTTTATTCAACAGCAATAGAGTGGGCGTCTACTCTAATATACAAAAATAATTGTTTTATATTCTAAAAAATAAAAACAAAGCTTTTTTGTGTAATGTTTGGTTATGTCACTTTTATTCTCTTATCTATGGTTACTTTCTATTTTTTAGATTTATCATTAGCGCCACTGCACTGTGGTCGTTTGGTGAACCCTTATTCTTCCCATTTTGTGTCCACTTTTTCAAATAAAATCCCTTAAGAGATATTTCTCCTCATCTCTACACTCCATATTTATAAATCAAAATCTATGTTGTTTACTTACATTCTGTGACTTTTCGTTTTAGGCACCCGTTCAATAGTGGCGAACTTGGCCGGCGCCGGCTTGAACCGCTCGAACAGCACAGCCGCGGGGTTGTGATGCGCAGTTGCCGCCGCTTTCTGCGCCGCAGCCTCGTCCGCCCCCAGAGCCGCCTCCTCCGCCGCCTCCACTATCTTGCGGTAGCTCTCCGAGCGCGGCATACTCGGAGAGGGATGCGCTGTCGGAGAATCCGCGACTTCTGCGCAGCATTCTTAGAAAAGGAATAATTAAGGCTTTCAAATCAGTCTAATGGTTATAAGGTTTCGATTTTGAACATTGTCTGTGTTTTAATTTTCCTTAGAAGTCGTAACACTATACAGGGTGGTCCGAACTGCATTCCGGAAACTTCGACAGCATGTTTTGCAGATAAAAATAAGTAAAAAGTTCGTGTAAATGTATGTCCTAGAATGCTTAGTTTCGGAGATACAGGCTGTAGAAGTTTTAGATTTATTTAGATTTTATCCAAATCATTTCTGAAGTAACGTCAATATTTCGGTGAAAATTGGTGTCTGGGAGTTTTTTGATATGAGAAATTTGATTTGGATGTCAATATGACTCCTATTTGTTGGGGGCGCCACCTACACGTGTTTTAACTGTTTTGAAGAGTAATAACTTTTCGTCCGTACCTGTATAAAACTACTGTGTGAAAAAATATACATTTCCGTGACTTTTTACGTAAAAAATGTATTTTGGTTAGTATTTAGAATGGAAATAGTCAATACATGTCATTACTGGCAAAAAATAAACACGTTGAGTAAAAAAATATTTGACTGAAATAATAAATTTGGGAATCTTTTTTTTTTAATTAATCATAAATGTTTCTTCCAAAAAATAATGATAAAACAGATTCTGTTGAACTTTTGGCATAAAAACATTTCAAATTTATGATTTCAGTCTAATAACTATTTAGTCAACGGATGTTTAATTTTTGTCAATGATGATAGGTATTGATAATTTGGACGCCAAATATCTCGAAAACCAAGAAGAGACCTTTTTTACGTAAAAAACGTCGTAAATGTTTTTTTTACTCTGTACTTTTCTATAGGTACGGGCGAAAAGTTATTCCTCTTCAAACTAGTTAAAAAATATGTAGGTGGCGCCCTCTACAAGTAGGAGTCATATTGACATCAAATTCAAATTTTTCATGTCAAAAAACTCCCATACACCAATTTTCATCCAAATATTGACGTTACTTCAGAAATTGCTTGGAAAAAATCAAAATAAAAATGAAACTTCTACACCCTGTATTTCCGAAACTAACCATTTTATACATACATTTATACGAACTTTTTTACTTATTTTTATCTCCAGAATATGTTGCCGAAGTTTCGGAAATATAATTCGGACCACCCTGTATAACCCTATTGGCAAAATTTATCTATGTATAAAAGAAGTTTCAATGATGTCGCTTCTACTTTTTCATATTTTTTATTATTAAATAGTGCCAAACGTACTTTGTAATTTCTTTAAAACAAAACAACAAAGTACGTTTTTCTCGAAATCCGAAAACATAATAGTGTAAAGGGTACTTTACCTACCCTTTCCTCCTGCGCAGTCCGTCCGCGCCGCTTCTTCCCCCTCCGCCGAGGCACTCGCGCTGCTCGTCGTGCTCTGCGCCCGCGTCGTCCCGCCCTCCTCCCACGTGGACATCGACGTGGTGGGCGTGGTCGTGGCGTCTGCGCTCTCGCTTGGCCTTGGCCGATCGGGCACAGTCGGATCGCTTCGAGCGCGATCGGCAACATCCCGAGAACATGTGTCAGCAGCACTTCCAGTTCGGATTCCCTGCCAGCGGTGCGAGATCGTCAAAAGTCAATATATCGAGTATCGAGCTGTGTTTTGATTGGCACACGACATCGAATCTAACTACGATCTGGACTTAAGCCCGGTTGACAGGGTATAAGTGTGCTTGGATAATAACTTGGGCTAAGTAACTTGTATCATACACTTGGCCCAAGCTGGTTTCCATTTGGATAGATAGTAAGATGTCAGATTTGGTATTGGGTTAACGAAATATTAGGCCATATTCAAAGAATCTTTGACTTTCCCTTCATACGCAATACGGGGTTTTCAAAACTTCGAAATATTAGATTTAGAATTTGATGTCCATATTATGTCTCCAAAATATACAGGGTGTTTCAAAAAACATGTGCCATCTCTCGTGAGGAGAAGTGCTAAATATTTTAATGCAAAAAAAGTGTCGATAAATTCATCAGGGACGCTTATATGGGTTATCACTAGAATATTTTTCAAAAAAAAACATGTGCGCCACTAATTTTTTTTGTTTGATATCAAAATTATGTAGGCCGTTTAATGCAAATTAAATGTTATTTCTTGATATTTTGTCAAATTCGACTTCCTTGATGAGATAAACGCAAATTTATTAATCACAATTAATAAAATTAAATTAAAAACAAAATTAATAAATTATATATTTTACTTAATTTATTATTAAATATTATTACTATTAGTTATTATTACTATTAGTCTAACCTTCAGCAATTTCAAATAAAAAAATAATGTTATTTAGGATAATTACAAAAAAAATAATTTTAAAAAGTTTTAACATCCTTTAACTCTAAAACTATGCATTTCCATACCCATATTTATAGGAACTTTTTCATATTTTTTGATGAGGAATCAATGAGTACTTATTGAAAACGTTCGCAAGTTAATGATATTAAAATTTTTAAAGGTTGCTATTAGACTTGGATCAAGCCAAATTAATAAAATTGCGTTTATCTCATCAAGGAGGCCGAAATCGACAAAATATCAAGAGACAACTTTTAATCGGCATTAAACTGCTTACACTATTTTGCTTACAAGAGACGAAAAAGTCAGTGGCGTACATACTTTTTTTAGAAAAATATTCCAGTGATAACCCATATGCACGTCCCAAGTGAATATATCGACACTTTTTTAGTTTTAAAATATGTTGCATTTATAGTAACTTTTACCCTCAAAATTTCATTCGAAATGCTAAAAGTACTTGGGAGAAAATTATAATAAATCGAAAAAATATTAAGACTAATACTCTGTAGCTACGAAACAAAGCAGAATCGGACCTATGTTGAAATGAAATATAAATCTTATTTTTACGTGAGTAATCTCTCCACGAGATGTTTTTTGAAACACCCTGTATACAAAATTTTCTAGTGGGTAAAAAAATATAAAATATATAGTTTCAAATATATTTACCTGTCTAGAAGAGCTCGAAGGCCCAGAGGTAGCTTCGGAGGAACTATCGGAAGAACTGGTTTCAGAGAAATCTTCTTCGATTAGTGGTTCTAAGGTTCGGCGAGGAAGCAACCCCCTTAACACGGCCCCTGTTATAGGGGGCGCCATAAGTAGTTCGTCCATCATTATTTCGGTATCGTCTAGGTTGTCAGAAGAGATGGAACCAGCATTCGGCTGTAAATTTTATTTAAATTATTGTTAAAAACATACTTATTGCGTTTTTACAATTACCTTAAAAATAATTTAATGTGCAAATCCATGCAAAAGGTGAATATATTAACTAGGATTCTCTATATAAGTAAATATGGCTATTATAAATATTTTTGGAGTATATTTATATGTATATGATAAAATATAATTTATAGACTTTAAGAAGGTTTTTGATTGGTGCCCTCTAACGGACACACGAAGCACTTTTGTAGATAAATTGTGGCTAATTAACTTATTAACTTTTACTGTTACATAAATTCCAACTAGTTTTATACAGTTTTTTTGTATTAGAAGTTATAGTGATTATAACGGAAACCCCTTAGTTTTTTACTTAAAAATTTAAACAAACTTCATTAATAACATTATTGTTCAAGTCCTATTTTAACTAAGTTCATGCATTAATAATTAACCATAACCATATTATGAAAACTCAAAGTACAGCAAATATATTCATTGTCATGCCATGCACTAAAAACAAAGTTTAAATAAATTAACCACAGTCTGTATTTGTTTGATTGCCATGCACTATATTCTCGAAAAACTCTTTCAACTGTCTAACCGAGAGTTTCCCCTCCCAGTTTGGGGAATTCGGTGAATTTAGTGGATCATCCAAATCGCCTCCACTTGTCGGGGTACCCCACACTTCCTCACCAGATGTCGCCCCGGAAGTTTCCTCTTCTTGGGCCTCCTCTCCGTTAATGTGGTTCTCGGTGGTTTTCAAATATCTAAAATTAAGCAGAATATCTCATCAAATTATGTTTAAATAAGAGTTATTTTTTAGAATAGCTAAAATATAAATATAAGCTATACCAATTAAATTTTTAGTTACGTAATCGAGGGCGCGATTTTTAAATTCATTGTTGCCAACCATGGACATATTCGGCGCCAGGCTGACTAACTGAAATTTAAATTTCCCGCTGGGGATTCAGGTGGTAGCTCTGCTGTAAAAATGCCAAGTTGCCACATCTATATATTTATTTCTTGCAGTTTTTAGGTATATAATAAAATTATATAAGAGTTTCTTGCCTTGAACTGCTAATATAGAAATTAATTCCACGCTGTGTTCGACATAATGTGGATCAACCTGCTCTCACTACCGGTTTCGGGGCCCTACCCCATCATCAGGTGAGCTTGGGTCGTTTCCACAAAATGTCGAGCACAGCGCAGAGTATATAAACACGACTTGTCGTAAAGTAGCGGTAAGATATTAAGTCCCGCATCGCGAGATAGCGAATAATTATGTCGAACACAGCGTGGAATTTATTTCTATATTAGCAGTTCAAGGTAAGAAACCCTTATATAATTTTATTATACACCTAAAAACTGCAAGAAATTTATTTTCCATTATATAATTTGGGCTAGCCGAAAAGAGCCTTTATTTACTATCGATAGTTGTGCCTCGGTGGTACAAAAGTACTACCATTGCACGCAGGCCGCTATCTCGCGATGCGGGACTTAATATCTTATCGCTACTTTAAGACAAGTCGTGTTTATATACTCTGCGCTGTGCTCGACATTTTGTGGAAACGACCCAAGCTCACCTGATGATGGGGTAGGGCCCAGAAACCGGTGGTGAGAGCAGGTTAATCCACATTATGTCGAACACAGCGTGGAATTAATTATTATATTAGCAGTTCAAGGCAAGAAACTCTTATATAATTTTATTATATACCTAAAAAGTGCAAGAAATTTATTTTCCATTATATAATTTGGGCTAGCCGAAAAAAGCTTTTATTTACTATCGATAGTTGTGCCTCGGTGGTACGAAAGTACTACCATTGCACGCAGGCCGCTATCTCGGGATGCGGGACTTAATATCTTACCGCTACTTTACGACAAGTCGTGTTTATATACTCTGCGCTGTGCTCGACATTTTGTGGAAACGACCCAAGCTCACCTGATGATGGGGTAGGGCCCCGAAACCGGTAGTGAGAGCAGGTTAATCCACATTATATCGAACACAGCGTGGAATTAATTTCTATATTAGCAGTTCAAGGCAAGAAACTCTTATATAATTTTATTATATATCTAAAAACTGCAAGAAATTTATTTTCCATTATATAATTTGGGCTAGCCGAAAAAAGCCTTTATTTACTATCGATAGTTGTGCCTCGGTGGTACGAAAGTACTATCATTGCACGCAGGCCGCTATCTCGCGATGCGGGACTTAATATCTTACCGCTATTTTACGACAAGTCGTGTTTATATACTCTGCGCTGTGCTCGACATTTTGTGGAAACGACCCAAGCTCACCTGATGATGGGGTAGGGCCCCGAAACCGGTAGTGAGAGCAGGTTGATCCACAAAATGTCGAACACAGCGTGGAATTAATTTCTATATTAGCAGTTCAAGGCAAGAAACTCTTATATAATTTTATTATATTTATTTCCTGACATTGTCATTCGTTTTGACACTTTACATACTTACTTGTTTTGTATTACGAGTTTTTGGTTTAAATGAATTTTATTGTGATACTTTTTACAACTTCTTTTAGTGCGAAGTGTTCAAGATAGCTTAATAGGCGCTGCAAAAAACTCATCTCAAACTTATTAGAATATATTACCGGGTAGCGGTAGTAATGACTCATTATGTTTCTTCAGAGCTGTTGAGGAGGTGAGTTTTGTTCATGTAAATAATAACTGTTATAATTATACTATAATTTATTTTTGTTTTTGTATAATATTTTGTTTAAAAGAAAATATGTAAAAGTGGGCAACGCTGTACCGGTCAACCTTAATCATGTGACTAAAAGGTTAATTGGTATAAACTATAGATACAATAGTGTTTTATGTACCAAGGGGATTAGTGGACAATAATACAAGAAGGGCTACAAGTAATGACAATGAGAAATCCCACAAAACACACAAAAATGGAATACCCTGTACAAATAAATTGATATAAAGATAGGTAAGTTAAAAGTCAAAGAAATTTCAAGAAAACCTCCCCCTTGAAGACGATCAAAATATTAATGGCTGCATAAATTATAAGTACTTGGGAGCCAACATTTCAAGGAATGGCACTCTTGATAAAGCCATAAATAAAGCTATTAGGGACAGAAAAGCTCAGGGAAAAAAGGCACTATCTTTGTTAAACGGCGTCTTGTGGGATAGGAACATCTCCAAATTCAACAAACGTCATATATACAGCACAATAGTTAAAAGCATCGTTTGCTATGACAGCGAGGTATGGCAGCTAAAAGATAAGACGGATGGAGATGGGCCGCGAGGTAAATCCAGAAGAGAAAGGTGTACGAACAACAGAATAACGAAAAATTATGGGGGTCAATCGAACAATAGTTGATGACATTAGAACGAAACAACTAATATGGTATGGCCACGTACAATGAATGTCAGAGAAGAGACTTCCAAAACAGATCCTCAACTGGACACCAGCGGGACGACGGTCTGGAGAGAAGGAATAGACAACTAGAGCAACTGGCTGGGCATCGGAAGACGTCGAAGAACTTTTTAAAACCGATTGATATATAAGTTAAAAGTAAATTATTTTACCTTTCAAAAAACCCTCCTGCACCTTTATAATCCTCACCCAACCTCTCGAAAAAAGCCATCTTCTCAGCCACGTAACTTCCGGCTTTCACGGTCCAGCTCATGATAGATGAATGTTGAAAAGCTTCGTTATCAATACCTAGATCTTCGTCATCATCATCATGATCATGATCATCGTCTATGTCGCTTTCTTCAGAAGAATAATGGTTTCTATTATTGTCTTCTCTCTCTTCTGATCCACAACGTTCCAGGCTTGACACTGTGCCGAAACGACGTAAGGTCAGAACGGAACTGGTCAAAGAATGGTAAGGGTGGTCTTCCGTTTGGGGTGAGTCGTCTGGGGATATATCTGGATCGTAGACGGATTGTGTTTTGTCCTAGAATGGTTACATACATTTAGCTGATTTAGTTATTTTTTAATAAATAAAAAACCAAGAAAGAAACATTAACAAAATATTCAACACGTTGAAATGCTATATGATAAAAAACTTATGACGATTCTTACAGATTCGCAATAAAATGCCCTTTTTGATACTCTACTCTAGAAGTTCAAGATGACCAAAAAATATATATAATACAACTACTAATTCTACATAATACATAATTCAATAATGTAAAACTGTCTTTATTGCACTATTCTGTCAGCGCATATACCGGGTGTTTTCAAAAGTGGCTCACCCCTACGACTTTTTTATTTTTTCAGGTTAAAAAATCTAGATTTGGTATATTAGTATATTATGACATAAATAGGGATTGATTGACATACCCAATTAGTGTCGTTCACTGGCTGTTTTACCGGAAATGACTAGAAGTTTTGATTTTTAATTGGTACCCTCGTTTTTTTTTCATTTGATAGAAAATTACATTCCGAATAGTAAATAAACTTTAGATATTTTGAATTATAAAAAATTTAGCGACAATTTGACTCGAAATACGTATGTGGTACCAAATTATTCGTAAAAAATATTTTTTCAAATATGCCAATGATTTGAAAAAAATGAGTCATTATTAAAAATACGATTGTGGCATTTTTTGAACGGCCAAGAAAAGTAATTAGACGATGAAATATTTTTTTACAAATTTTCTTGATTAAAAATTAATTTTCTTAACACATCCTAAGACTGATGTACTATTGGAGGATCCTGTGTGATCAAAGTGTGTCCAAAAAGTCAGTGAAGATTTCAGAAAACGACATCCAAAAAATGACAGAAAACACAGTTTGTCCGTGAATTAAAATGACAGTCACTGTTGGACAGACACGACTTCCAGTTGGACAGGCTTTAATATTTTTTTTATGTTTTTTTATATTTACCATGGGACAGCAGTTATTAATATGATCGCATGGGCATTTGTCCTCCCCTTCGAAACAATCAACGGTACCATTTGCCATAGAATGCTCTGGTGTTGGCGGTGCCACTGATATTTTCGGTGCTGCTGACTGAAAGGGGTCCATTTTGACAAGACTGGCAACTGGATTGGCACACAGACCTTTAAAATGATATTTTAGATGACTACAATGACTATTAGAAAAATTATTTTAGTATAATTTTTGTTTTAAATAATTTACTTTTTTGTTGATGGCAACGTAGATAATGAAATATATATTCACACCAATAAATAACTATTTTGTGTCTCAATATTTTAATCACTAATTTTGAATGACCTCGGCATGTATCTTAAATGAATGTATAAACGTTTCTTTAAATATAGTAGATAATGATATGTTGACGGTATTTTTAAATTTTGAAAATGAACCGATAGGCTGGTAGGTTCCTTCCTCAATCATTCCAATTCACAAAGTGACTCCATCAAATTTACGATTAAGAAAGAGAAAAATCTCTGTCGAAGCAACAACAACGTCAGTGATGCATCTGACCAAACGTAGTGTAAGTTTTAAAGCTAAGTCTTTGAGTTTCTAGATATATAACTTTACCTAGCAAAAGCAGTGGTTGCCAATCGGAATCTTCTTTTTGTTTGGATTGTTGGTCTTGGTGCCTTTCCGAAAAATGATTGTGGTCGTTGAAGAGATGGTTAGATTGCTGATTGCTGTTGCAGTCTCTAACGTGATTTGTTTGGTTGAGCTTGTTGTTGGCTATGACGTTGGAAAGGCAGTTCTTGTGGCACTGACGGCAAACCTGGACGGTTTCTGGTACTATAGGACTGGATCGAACAGTAACCTAGAAATATTATTATTTTATTTACTTTATTATTAATTATAGTTTTTTTTTAATTAATGGACATCAAAATAAAAATAAATATATTCAGGAAGCATCAAGAGGATCATAAATAATTAATTGGTCTTACTTGGCTTTCTGTTGTAGTACTTTTGGACGGACTATGTTCATCTTGATCGCTTAAGGTCAGTTCTTCACATTTGTTCTCATGCCTTCTGGTGTCTCCATATGATGTGATATTGCCTGACAACAATACATTTTTGATATTCTCCAATAAAATAAATCAACAGAGGTAGCGAACTAAATATACAGGGTGTTTCAAAACACATATGCCAACTCCGTGAGGAGATCCCTCAAGTAAAAATAAGATTTATTTTTAATACCAACATAGCTCTGATTCTGCTTTGTTTCGAAGCTACGGAGAAGTAAGGTCTTAATTTTCAAGTAACCCTGTATAATAAGCCAAATACTAATGTTTATAAAAAACTGAGTTTATGAATCAAAGTTGATATATATATTTACAGTTTGTAAGTAAAATGAATGTGTTCTGAAAGTAAAAAATATAATAATTTTGCTGAATACCGATAAACTAGAATCATGTGGCACTCCCCCGGAACATCATAACAGCGCAGCGCTTTAAAAATCGTAGAAGAACTATTAGAATATGTAGCGGAATTCAATTACCTCGGCAGTTTGATATCGGAAAAGACTAATATCGACTCTGAAATACAGCACAGAATTATCAGCGCTTTCAAGAGCATCCTGGAAATTAAAAGACGGGGTTTTCTTCAATCATGACTTGAGCACAAAAACAAAACTTGCAGTGTATATATATATATATATATATATATGTATATATATATATATATATATATATATATATATATATATATATATATATATATATATATAGAATATATATATATATATATATATATATATATATATATATATATATATATATATATATATATATATATATATATATAATCGAAGGCCTTCTACCCGAAGGTGTAGGCTTCTAGTAGCTACTTTCCATAAATAAAATTTTGCCACTTCTTCTTGTCGAGGGCCATGCTAAGCTGCTTCGGCGCAGCCGATCCCTCTAGTTTTAAGTAATTTTGCAACATTTTGATCCCAAGTAGTTGCAGGTCTACCCTTTTTCCTTTTTTTCTTGCCTTTTTGCCTCCCATACTCTTCTTACTGGTCTCTCTTTGTTGAGTCTTTTCAAATGTCCGTACCACCTCAACTGGCAGTTTTCGATAGTTGTTAGTACTGGCTGGACTTTCAGCTGCTCTCTAATATGGGAATTACGTAGTTTATTCATCCTCGTAACCCTAGTCTTTTCGTAGGTATTTCATTTCTACTGCTTGTATTAAGCTTTCTTGTCTCTTGGTGAGAACCCAACTCTCACTACCGAATGTTAATATTGGTACGAATACTGAATTAAACACGCTGATTTTGGTCTTCAATGATACCTCTTTTTTACCTAGAAATGTGTTCTTTATGCTATGGTATAGATTTGCAGCGCTTTGGACTCTTGCAGTTATCTCTTGGTTTTGATGTCCCTGGCTTTCTATTTGGACTCCCAGATATTTGAAAGAATTTACCTGCTCTATTATTTGATCATTTATTTCTATGTTAACCATTTCTTCACTCTTTCCGCTAATCATTATTTTTGTTTTGTTCTCATTTATTTTAAGGTTTTTGGAAGATAATTTGTTGTTCCATGTATTGAGATTTCTTTTAAGTTCTGTTTCGTTCCTAGCAAATATAACGATGTCGTCAGCGAAAGCGCATTCATTGATCCACACAGGCTGCATATTTTGGTACCCTACAGAAGTTTAGATGTCTCTCGTCTCGTTTCTTTCATTACATCATCCATAACTAAATTGAATAAAATTGGGCTTAGGACACCTCCCTGTCGAACACCCTTCAACGAATTGAAAACTCTTCTGAATGCATATTATCGGTCTTTACATAGCTTCTAGTGTCGGAATAAAAACTCATTATTGCTCTTCTTAAGTTTTGGTCAATGTTTTTATTTATTAGGGTTTTCTGAACTTCAGATCTTGGAAGGCTGTCAAAGGCTTTTTCAAGATCAAGAAAGGCTTGGTAAACTTGGACATTTGTATTTCTATTTTTATCCGTTATTTGTTTAATTGTAAATATATGATCGTGTACACTACGGCCCTTCCTAAATCCACTCTGCGATTCCTCAAGTTGGTTGTCAATTTGATTTACGAGTTTTGCTTCCAGTATTTGCTCATAAACTTTAGAGGCAATGCTAATAAGTGTGATTCCTCGATAATTATTACAATCCCTTTTATTACCCTTTTTAAAAATTGGTACGATGACCCCTATTTTCCAATCATTTGGGATTTTTCCTTCGTTCCACGCTAAAGTACAAATCTTTGTTAGTATTTTTTCTCCCTTTTCTCCCATGTTTTTCAGCATTTCTGCGGTGATGCCGTCATGTCTCGCCGCCTTTCCTTTTTTAAGTTTCTGTATAGTGCAATGGACGTCCTCTAACTCTATCATATCTTCCTCTTGAGATGTGGCCCTACTTTCCACGACAAAATTTTTCTGATCACTCTGCCCTTCAAAAAGATCCTCAAAATATTGTTTCCATCTCTTAATAATGTCTTCTTCATTCATTAGTAATATTCCATTCTTATCGTTTATTTGTTTCATCTGTGTTATTGCATCGAAGATTTTTAAGGACTTTGTAAAATAGCTTTTTATTTGCGTGGAAATCGTGTTCAATTTTTAGACCGAATTCTTCCAATGACTTTTTCTTTGATAATATTACAAGTTGCTTCACTCTTTCTCTATGTTTCTTATATACTTCATATTTATCCATGTTTCTGCCACATAAATAGTTTTTCCATGCCGCTTTTTTCATTTTAATTTCATGTTTGATGTCGTCATTCCACCAAGCGGTTTGTCTTTTGCTTTTGTTAATTTTCGTTGTTCCACAGATTTCTTTCCCTGCTTTTAATAGTATAAATTTAAAATTTTCCCACATTATTTCTAGATTTTGTTCCTCATTGACTGGTTGAGTTTCAATTAGCTCTTGTATTCTTTTCCTGTAACTCATGGCAGTATTCCTGTTGTTCAATCTATACGACCTGACTACTTCTCTTGTTACGCTGCTCCGTGGTCGCTCTATTTGGTCTGGTTTTTGAAAGCCTAGTTTGGTTTTATCTTAACTTGCAGTGTACCGAGCAATAATAATCCCCACCATGTTATATGGAAGTGAAACCTGGGTGCCTTACCGCCAGCACACGAACGCATTAAACAAGTTGCAACAGACACATGTTAAACGGCGTCTTGTGGGATAGGAACATCTCCAAATTCAACAAACGTCATATATACAGCACAATAGTTAAAAGCATCGTTTGCTATGACAGCGAGGTATGGCAGCTAAAAGATAAGACGGATGGAGATGGGCCGCGAGGTAAATCCAGAAGAGAAAGGTGTACGAACAACAGAATAATCGAACAATAGTTGATGACATTAGAACGAAACAACTAATATGGTATGGCCACGTACAATGAATGTCAGAGAAGAGACTTCCAAAACAGATCCTCAACTGGACACCAGCGGGACAACGGTCTGGAGAGAAGGAATAGACAACTAGAGCAACAGGCTGGGCATCGGAAGACGTCGAAGAACGTTTTAAAACCGATTGATATATAAGTTAAAAGTAAATTATTTTACCTTTCAAAAAACCCTCCTGCACCTTTATAATCCTCACCCAACCTCTCGAAAAAAGCCATCTTCTCAGCCACGTAACTTCCGGCTTTCACGGTCCAGCTCATGATAGATGAATGTTGAAAAGCTTCGTTATCAATACCTAGATCTTCGTCATCATCATCATGATCATGATCATCGTCTATGTCGCTTTCTTCAGAAGAATAATGGTTTCTATTATTGTCTTCTCTCTCTTCTGATCCACAACGTTCCAGGCTTGACACTGTGCCGAAACGACGTAAGGTCAGAACGGAACTGGTCAAAGAATGGTAAGGGTGGTCTTCCGTTTGGGGTGAGTCGTCTGGGGATATATCTGGATCGTAGACGGATTGTGTTTTGTCCTAGAATGGTTACATACATTTAGCTGATTTAGTTATTTTTGAATAAATAAAAAACCAAGAAAAAAATATATTAACAAAATATTCAACACGTTGAAATGCTATATGATAAAAAACTTATGACAATTCTTACAGATTCGCAATAAAATGCCCTTTTTGATACTCTTTGGAAGTTCAAGATGACCAAAAAATATATACCTATATATATAATACAACTACTAATACTACATAACACATAATTCAATAATGTAAAAGTGGCTTTATTGCACTTTTCTGTTAGCGCATATACCGGGTGTTTTCAAAAGTGGCTCACCCCTACGACATTTTTAATTTTTTCAGGTTAAAAAATCTAGATTTGGTATATTAGTATATTATGACATAAATAGGGATCGATTGACATACTCAATTAATGTCGTTCACTTGCTGTTTTACCGGAAATGACTAGAACTTTTGAGTTTTAATTGGTACCCTAGTTTTTTTTTTCATTTGATAGAAAATTACATTCCGAATAGTGAATAAACTTTAGATATTTTGAATTATAAAAAATTCATTTTAAATTTCAATCTAGAGTGCCATGACCATAAATTTAGCGAAAATTTGACTCGAAATACCACGTATGTGGTACCAAATTATTCGTAAAAAATATTTTTTCAAATATGTCATTATTAAAAATACGATTGTGGCATTTTTTGAACGGCCAAGAAAAGTCATTAGACGATGAAATATTTTTTTTCCAAATTTTCTTGATTAAAAATTAATTTTCTTAACACATCCTAAGACTGATGTACTATTGGAGGATCCTGTATATTCAAAGTGTGTCCAAAAAGTCAGGGAAGATTTCAGAGAACGACATCCAAAAAATGACAGAAAACACAGTTTGCCCTTGAATTAAAAATAACAGACACAATTGTCACTGTTGGACAGACACAACTTCCAGTTGGACAGGCTTTAATATTTTTTTATGTTTTTTTTTATACTTACCATGGGACAGCAGTTATTAATATGATCGCATGGGCATTTGTCCTCCCCTTCGAAGCAATCAATGGTACCATTTGCCATAGAATGCTCTGGTGTTGGCGGTGCCACTGATATTTTCGGTGCTGCTGACTGAAAGGGGTCCATTTTGACGAGACTGGCAACAGGATTGGCACACAGACCTGTAAAATGAGATTTTAGATGACTACAATGGCTATTAGAAAAATATATCCTATTTTTATTTTAAATCGTCTTCTTTTTTGTTGATGGTAACTTAAATAACTTTTTTCTAGAAAAAATATGATTAATTTTAAAAAAAATCTAGAAAAAAATATGATGGAACAGTTTCTGTTGAACCTCCATCTTTGGCACAAACACATTTCAAATTTTGCATGGTTTGAGTCTAATATCTATCTAGATAACATGTTCAATTTTTTTCAATGTTGATATGTATTGACTATCTTGATCCCAAATATCTCGAGAACCATTAGTAGTAGCAATTTTTACCAAGAGACCTTTTTTATGTAAAAAAACGACGAGAATGTATATTTTTTCACTCAGTAGTTTTATACAGGTACGGACGAAAAGTTATTACTCTTCAAACCAGTTAAAAATATATAGGTGGCATGGCGCACTCTACAAGTAGGAGTCATATTGACATCAAAATCAAAATTTTCACGTCAAAAAACTCCGAGACACCAATTTTCATCCAAACATTGACGTTACTTCAGAAATTAATTGGAAAGAATCGAAATAAAAATAAAATTTCTACACCCTGTATTTTCGAAACTAAGCATTTTAGGACATACATTTATATGAACTTTTTTACTTATTTTTACCTACAGAATATGCTACCGAAGTTTCCCAAATACAATTCGGACCATCCTGTATACATATTCAGGGCAATAAATAACTATATTTGTGTATCATTATCTTAACCACTAATTTTTAATGACCAGGATGTATCCTGAACGTAGATATTATATAAACGTTTTTTTTTTGAATGTGGTAGATAATGATATATTAATGATATTTTAAAAATCTTTGATCAAAGGTTTACTTAATAACAATCATGTAATGTAGAATGTTTAGGAGAGGGTTACACCTAACAGATCTATTGTGTGTTCACCTTTCTTGAGTTATAACGAGTTATAACTCAAGAGTTATAACGAGTTATAACTCATCAAACAATCAGTGATGCATCTGACCCAAACGCTATGTAAGTTAAAGCTAAGTCTTATAGTTTCTAGATGTATAACTTTACCTAGCAGAAGCAGTGGTTGCCAATCGGAATCTTCTTTTTGTTTGGAATGTTGCTCATGTTGCCTCTCCGAAAAATGATTGTGGTCGTTGAAGAGATGGTTAGATTGCTGATTGCTGTTGCAGTCTCGAACGTGATTCGTTTGATTGAGCTTGTTGTTGGCTATGACGTTGGAAAGGCAGTTCTTGTGGCACTGACGGCAAACCTGGACGGTTTCTGGTACTATAGGACTGGATCGAACAGTAACCTAGAAATATTATTTTATTTACTTTATTATAGTTTTTTTTAAATTAATGGACATCAAAATAAAAATAAATTTATTCGGGAAGATCTTTCAGAAAGCATCAACAGGATCATAAATAATTAATTGATCTTACTTGGCTTTCTGTTGTAGTACTTTTGGACGGACTATGTTCATCTTGATCGCTTAATGTCAGTTCTTCACATTTGTTTTCATGTCTTCTGGTGTCTCCATAAGATGTGATATTTCCTGACAAAAATAAATTTATTATACTCCTATAAAATAAATCAACAAAGGTAGCGAACTAAATATACAGGGTGTTGCAGAAAGCATACGCCATCTCTCGTGGGAAGATTTCTCATGTAAAAACAAGATTTATTTTCCATATCAACATAACTCCGATTCTGAATTGAGAGTTGCGTTGCCTAGGCTGCCTGGGCCATTTTGGCAAAGTACTTTTCTGCTTTTCTTTTTTCTGGGTGGTTTTATGGACCTTCACTGATTTATCTTTTTTAACGACTAACAATTATTGAGGCTATTAAACAGGTTGCTTTAAGCTCTTCGACTATTCAGTAATGCTTGCATTCTACAGTACTAAGCAGCTCTAATTCCCAATAATTACTATGTATTTCAAGAAAATGTGATTATGACATTTCAAATTTGCGGCTAGTTTTTTTCTTGGTTATAAGGTTAATGTTAGGCTTGTTATTATTAAATATTTAGGGTTTTAAATTACTAACATTCAAAAACAAAACAATTTGATTTATGTGTTCTGTCTTGTTGAATTTGAAAGCTATGTCATGCGGTTTTTGCTCTATCTCATTGTCGAAGGAGTATACATTTTTTTGGTGACTATAATGTAAATTCAGTTTATTATAAACTTCAGTATTTGACTTATTATACAAGTTTAATCGAAGAGTTGTTTTTACCCTATCTTTAAAACACCCTGTGCAATAATTCTTAAAACGTTATTTCTCGGTCGGAACCATGTCTCGAGTGAACTTTCTTTTTTGACTTATGTCAACATATGCCTTGGTTAATTTTTGAGAGCAAAATGAACTTGCCAGAAACATTTTGCAATTTTTTCAATTATCGTTACTTTTTGATGTTCTTTTTTATAATGACGCGGTTGCTTGGGTGAATATTGTTTTGTACAATTGAATATGGTTTGTAGTTTTGAAGATTGTGCAAAAGTCATTGATCTTGCATGATTGTCATGAAGATGATGATAGTAATGATAGTTGAAAAAATCGCAAACTGTTGGTGGCAAGTTCATTTCGCTATTAAAAATTAACCAAGACATGTGTTGACATGAGTCAAAAAAGAAAATGCTCAGGAGATATGACTCTGATCGAAAAATAATGTTTTTGGAAAAGTTACTCACGAAATTGTTGCACAGGGTGTTTTAAAGTTAGGGTAAAAAAACAACTCTTCAATTATCCCTGTATAATAAGCCAAATACTAATGTAACATTTATATACAGTTTGCTAAAAAATTCATGAAAATAGAGTTAAAAGTAAAAAAACACTTTAAACTTGACGAAAAAATTCTCCGTTGCGTTTTTTGCATCTGAGTGTAGTTATTGTTAACATTTACAAATTTCCAGCTTTTATATCCATGTTATCAATACAAAACTGCTCGTTAGTTATTTTAATTTCGTTACCTAATGGATCAATTAGTTGCAGCTCCTCGCTTCTCTTCCTCAACATCTCCTCGGTCCAGTCTTCGTTCAGCTGCTCTATTACCGGACTGTGAGGTCCAGCCTCATCCAACTGTCCCTTCATCCATTGCTCTAAATGGATAGCGTTACATTTGCCATTAAAACTTGTTCTGCCCATCTGTTTGCACTTGTGTTCGATCAAACATTCGATCTGTCGTTTCGCCTCTTTGTTCGACAACGTTTCGTTGCTGCAGTTGCGGTGTCGATCGTCAGGTAAATTGGGGGGCTAAAAAATGGAGACTATTAAAAGCGCATTTTAGTTCAAAAACTTGTCGGAAGTGGATGCAGAAACGAGCTTTTAATTCTTTGAGAAAATTTGCGATAATGAGTTATTTTAGATGTGGAATTGAACGATGGATATGTTTTTATATATAATAAAAGATATGCGGAGGGTTAAGTTATAGATTCCAATATCGTGAAAGCAATCACAAATCAGATACTTGATAGTCTAGTCTCCTCTTTTTAATATATTTATTCTTCTTCCAGTCTATTTGCTAAATCTAATTCGGTTATTTAATTTTAGTTTTAGTACGCTTGATACAAATATATTTATGATAAATCATCTGATGGTAAATTTTAACTTTAACCTTTCTCATATCTTATATTATATATGTGTATATTGTTGATTAATTACTTACCCCTATACAGAATTTACAAAACTATATTTCTGTATTTTTGGTATTTGTTACATTAGAATAATCGAAAATATAAAACAAAATTGCGAGTGCAAAAAACAAACAAGAAATAAAAATGATAAAAACAGTTTTTGGTTAATGTCTTTGTACAGATTCTGTTATACCGGGTGGGCGCGTCTCAAAAGTGTCTCAACCCTATAACTTTTTTATTTTTTCAGATAAAACAACGAGATTTGGTATGTTAGTATATAACATAAATTGGGATTGATTGACGTATTCAATTGTTTTCGGTCACTTCCGGTTTCACCGGAAATGACTACGACTTTTGATTTTTAAATGGCACCCTAGGTATTTTTTTCCTTTATTCGATAGAAAATGACACTCTGAATCAAATGACATATATGCCAATTTTTGACATAGTCACTCAAAAACAAATTGTATTTTAAATTTCAACCTAAAGTGCCATGGCTGTGTTAAAAACAATAATTTTTAATAAAGAAACCTTGGAAAAATAGATTTGATCGTCTAATGTTTTTAGTGTCCTTTCCGGTTAAAACATGCCCAAATCGTATTTTTAATCATATCTCAATTTTTTCAAATGGAACGAGGGTGGCTCATTAGCATATTTGGAAAAAGCATTTTTTTACGAATAATTTGATACCACACACTCGGTATTTTGAGTCAAATAATTGTCGTTATGAACCGCAGGTTACAAAAGTTGACATATGATATGTCATTCTTTCAGAGTGTCATTTTCTATAGAATAAAGTAAAAAAATACCGAGGGTACTATTTAAAAATCAAAAGTTGTAGTCATTTCCGGTGAAACACAAAGTGTACGAAAACAATTGAATACGTCAATCAATCCTAATTTATGTCATATATAAATCTCGTTTATTTTATCTAAAAAAAAGTAAATAAGTTATAGGGGTGAGCCACTTTTGAGGCACACCCGGTATATCATATTTTTTCTTACCATATATCTTGTACTTGGAAATGGAAAAAATCTAAAAAATTGCAACTAAATAATATTACTTGTGATTTTAGCTTATAAAAATAATCCTAGCCTATTGTTATAACATACAAATAACACAGTTATAACTAAAAATTTAAAGAACTTTACAGGATTGTATTTTTTTAATAGTAATCACCTCGTATTTTTTTAGCATTTATTTATTTACACCCTGTATTATAAATATGCATAATCTGTGTTATATTTGTTTGTCATAAATCTCTACCATTCCACATCTAAAATATATTGAAAACTAGCCTCTTCTCTCGAAAATCTTCAACTATATATCAGCAAATTTTCATCTATATAAAAAAAAAACTACAGAACTATGTAATCTATGTGGTCTAAAAAACGAACTAAACTCTAACAAAAAATTAACAGGTTATTAAAAAGCATTGTTAAAAACATAAAGCGTTTATTGGCAAATATAATACATTTTTTCATAACAATAAATAAATTATATCTAAGTAAAAACCAATCTTATAGACTACATATTCATAATTTGTAAACAATCACTACAAATTTCTTTTTAATAGTAGTAGGAAAATTTGTTGAAATGTTTTCACGGGGACAAGGGCAGTCGTATTGGCTCTATGAAAATAAATGTATCTCTTCGTTTTTGTGTTTGTTGAAAAGTCGTTTTTGTATGATATTGAAAGCGTTTAGTTACAATACCTACAAGTCTTTGGCTATATGCGTCTAGTGGACACCAATATTGTATTCTTAAGACATGTTGGTTACATGATCTCAACAAGAAAAACGTGTCTAGATGTCATATATGGTCTATGTATAATGTCTTCCAAAAGCGTCCACGTCATTTGTAACAGTATACAGGTGAAAGTAAAAGAATCAAATTCTCTAGAGATTTATGTTTAAAGCAACAACCCATTATAAATCACAATATTTTATTAACTTTTCACTTGAATAGGTTTTTTAAATGTATCTATGCTGCAGCATGATAATAAGATGTTTTCAAGCACCTAATATCGTAGGCACCTATGAACATAGGTCTACAAACTGAAATAGTGAAGAATGTGTTTCTAAAAAATGAAAAAATAACTAATATATTAGCATTTATTTTTTAACTCATAAAATTGAGATCTATGCAAAAAAACTGAGCGTCTGTGGGGACCTTTATAGTGTTAAATATATATTAGGGTGGGTCAAAAAAATCGACTATTTTTTTCCATTTTTGGTTGGTAGACACCTCAAAAAATTCTCTCCAAGTATGAGCTCTTACAACAGGAAGCTCCTCCGCCTTTCAGTTTGTATTTTTTTCTGATTATTAAAAAAAATTCAGATCTCGGTATCTACTACTTGGAAAAATATCTCGTCTCACATATTTGTAGGAAATTAAATTCTCTACAAAAAAGGTTTCTTGCAATTTTTTTGTAAACCTCACCGTTCGAAAGTTATTAAAGGTTGAAGATTGATTATTTTCAGGCAGAGTTCTTTTTTCTTATGAATTTTATAACTCGTTAACAAAAAATCGTTATAATACGCGCAACTCACTGTTTTGTGGGAAATTCACTGCTCTACAAAAATGGTTTCTTATGATCAGTCGATTAAATTAATCGTTTAAAAGATATTCATCGTCAAACTTCAATGCACAATAATTTTAACAATTTGTTGTGTCTCCAAAGAGTAGATACCGAGATATATAAATTTTTATTTCTGATAATAAAAAGGATAAATAAAAATAGAAAACTGAAAGGCGGAGGAGAATTTTTTTGAGGTGTTTACCAACCTTTTTTTCAGAGTATAAAGTGAAAAAAAATAGTCGATTTTTTTGACCCAAAAAAAACCTAATATGTATGTATATTTGAGTCAAAGTATCTCTCTAACTCTGCACAAGTATACACGGTTTTGGACCTGAGCAACTAAAAGCAATTTCTGAGATAATTTTTGGAGCTGAATCCAAATCAGCAGTCCATTTTTTAAGATTGGTTCTAGTTTTCGAAATATTCAATAAATTCATTATTTTTCTATTTTTGACCGTTAACGGTCATTTATTGAATTAATCAATATAAATCAGAAATGAACAAAGGTTGAACTGAGTCTTTTATACTGCTTGGGATCTGTTTCACGGATTAGGGTCCAACAGTAATCGCTCATCATGCTTTCGTCCCAAAATCCTTGGTATCGCCTTTCGATTTTCGCTATATTTTGGTGTAGCCGCTCTCCTTGCTCGTCGCTCGTGTCGCCCAAGTTTTGTGGGAAAAAATCAAGATGTGAATGCAGAAAATGTATCTTGAGAGACATTCGGGCTCCAATCTTGTGGTAATTTTGCAACAAATTGTCGATTACTTGCTTGTAATCCGGTGATTTATGAGTACGGAGAAAGTTGTGAACAACACTTTGAAACGATGCCCATGCTGCTGCCTCATCAAGCGTTAAACATTTTGTAAACGTTGCGTCAGCCATTAGTTTTCGAATATCCGGACAAATATTCCTTCTTTGATTTTTGCGTATATGACAGTTTTGGAAACAACTTGGTTAAGTACTGGAAAGCCGGTCCTTCGCGATTGAGCGCTTTGACAAAGTTCTTAATAAGGCCAAGTTTAATGTGAAGAGGTGGCAGTAAAACGTCCTGTGGGTTTACAAGTGGTAAGAGGACACATTTTGTTGTCAGTGCTACTGCCATGCGCGAACTTGAAAACTAGAGCCAATCTTGACAAACGGATTGAAGATCTGAGTTCACGGCATCAAATAACGTTAAGAATCGTTCTCATCTGCTCGGGTCCAAAAGTTGACCCGAATTTGTAAACTTATGTGATATAAGAATAATAAAATTTAATAATTTAAGAAGAAAAAAAAACGCATGCGCTTTGTTATAATATAACTAATTTGTACCTGTTTAATCTTCAGTCATTTTTTTTTAGAATTACTTCTAATACTGTTCTTTCGAAATAGTCAATCATTCTCTAGAAAAACTTTGTTATCAGAGTAATTGATGTCAAAAATATATCTTTTAAACTATTTCTTTTAAAATTCTCTCTTATCAATATCGTTTACTAATTTTAGTGCAATATATCGGCTTGTTAGAGTCTCCAAATTTTCGTCTAATTCTTATGGGGCTCCATTTTATTGGACACTAACATTAATCCTGATAATGTGATTAAAATAAAAAGAAGAATAGAAAATGTCTATACCTATGTGGCGGATTCATCTCTCCAAAAAAAATCCTTTATGGGTATTTCGCCACAGTTATACAAATTTGCCTAACAAAGAAAAAAATGCTTAACGTTTCGGAAAGTTTATCTCTTTCCGTCGTCGGAAAAAAAGGAAAAAAAGGGAGATTTTCACAAATCTAAGATTTGTCAGCATTCATGAGATACAGGGCACAGAATAAATTTTAATAACGCCAAAATTATAATGAAAGAAGCGATAGCTGTGGCGATAGCCTCTAAAAGAAAAATAAAAGAGGATTTTTTAATTCGATCTAATAAAAATAAATGTATTGCTAATGCATCTGTAGATGTTAGTAATGTACGGCAATCGCTTCTTTGATTTTAAAGAACATAACATAAATAAACATAACATACGTAAAATTTAAAAATAATTATACAGAAAGTTTGGGCTTTTTGGTTTTACCTTACTAAGTAATTGTTATCAGGTAGTAATTGTGTGAGTTAATTTTGAAGTTTGACTTGATATGTCATTTTAATAGAACGTCAACGGTTTCTTGTAGACGTATCTGTTTTAAAAAAGTAAAGTGTTCTCGAATAGTTGAATTTAAATATTTTAAATAGTTTTTTTATTTATTCTATGTATTTTTTTTGCTTCCGACGACGGAAAGAAATAAACTTTCCGAAACGTTAAGCATTTTTTCTTTGTTAGGTAAATTTGTATAACTGTAAAAATAACTTCTGGCAAGCAGTATATTTTTTTTGGAGAAAAAGAAGAATCTTAGTATAAGTCATAATTTTAACAGGATAAAAACAATACAAAAACTTTAAATATAAGTTGTCTATCTGTTGAGGTACATAATAGCAAATTTTTTTCAGTAATTGCTTGTAAACTATCAGAAATTATATGAAATTCGTCATTGTCATTATTTTATCTATTGTCGTATATGATACGTATCTTGAAATATTTGAAATATTTTTATTATTTGAAATATTGATGAATTCCAAGTTGGTCAAAGAATGCCTGAGAAGCTGAACAAATTAGACAAAGAAAATAAAATCCTCCTACTCTGGGATAAAAGGCAATGAAAAAGCAAACGATCTAGATAGAAAAGGAGCTAACACTCCACTAACTGGACCAGAACCGTTCTGCTTTCCAAGTAGAAACCAACTTAAAGCGGAACTCAAGAACCTAGAAATCTCCATCCGTAACTTGGAATCGGAATAATCCACCCCCGATCTAAGACTCTCGAAAATATTTCTCAGAACTTACGACCGAGAAAAATCAAAGATTTTCCTTGATTTAATTAAGAACAATCTTCGGATTGTCACTGGGTATCAAACAGGACACTGTGTCCTCAACGAACATCTCACTAGATTGAAGCTGAGAAACAACGGCGAATGCAGATTCTGTGGGGAAAATGAGGAAACACCAGAACATCTCATCACTGAGTGCGCCAAGACCACAACCGTTCGTGCCATTAACTTGGAGAGTTGGCGAAGATTCTGTCGAAGATTCTGTGGGGAAAATTCTACATCTTGAAATGTTAAAAATAAAATATTTTAATGAATATGTTTCAAACATTGCCCATTTTAGATGAAAGATAAAAATACAAATACAACAGCTCTTATTGTCGGTTAAAAATCATCCGTGTGTGGTGTTTTGCTGCTATTTTGCGACATGCCATCGATATTAAGGCTACTAAGATCATAATCAAACTGACTAATATCCCAAATGTCATCTCTCAAGTCAAACTCATCATGGTCGCTTGTATCAGATTCGTCAGTGATTTCCGTACTAGGAGTCAAGATAGCACTCGGACTAGGCGCTTCTCCTATACTCATTTTTTGTTGATCTACATTATCTGACAGGAAGACATCATCACTAGGACTTCGATTAAGAAGTGAAGAAGAATCTAACCCACTTGGACTCTTGGTGGAGGAAAGAGGTTTTGTTGAACGGGTATACGAAGTTTTTGCTGAATATAACCAAGAAGAAGATTGAGTTCTAGAGTGCAAAAAATCCAAGTATTGCCCTTCAGACGACGTATGGGATGACAGATTTGCGCTAGGAGTCTCTGGCGTTTTCGACATCGGTCTCGACTTAAAAAAACTCATCCTAGACTCGCTTTCCAAGCTCCTACTCAGCTTGGTACTTTCAGGTATTGTCTCGTACTCGTCGTCATCGTCAAGTATATCGTCTGACACGATTCGGACTCTGTAAGGTTTCGTAAAGGGTTTCGGGTCGGGTGTGTCTGGTGGCGTATCGTGGTGATGGTGGTGGTCTAGGAACGTGCCCGGTATGTCAAAAAAGGCGGTGTTGCCATGTACTAGACGCACCTGACGTCGCAGCGAGCTGGTCTCGACGGATTGGAGCGTACCGACCGACGAGGTGATCGGTACTTCGGGCGATTCCATTGGTGAGCTGAGCGAATTGCTCTCGAGGCCGGAGTTCAGCTGGAAGCTGCGTGCGTGCATACAAAGGTTTTTTAGATTTAAATGTCGCTGTTTAGGATTCCCCTGTAGTACCGGCTTCAAAAATCGTTTCGTTCACATGGATGTTGGTTAATTTGTTGTGCTTTCCTGAGATTATTTTATGTAATTTTTTGTTTATTTATATATGTATATTCTTTATACGATTCATCACCCGATATAATCGTTTTTATTTAAATTAATAGAAGAAACTGCAACTTAACCTAACCTAACGCAGTTTATAAAGAAAAAAAAAGGAATCCCAAACATCGACATAAATTAACGTATCATTTCAAAACTTTTTTATACCGTTTACTTTAAAACAGCCTCTACACTATCATTGAAATGTTTCCAGAAATATTTCGTAACTATCGTACTATTTTCTGATATAGCGCGGAGCAATCAAGGTCAAACGTTGTAGTGGCTTCAGAAAAATAAGTAAACATGGAGCATGAATAAATAGAATTAATTTGTAATGGAGTGTAATGTAATACCACTATATTAAACTGATATGAAAAATCAAAAACTGTGCATTTAGAAAACAGTCACCGATGGTAGATTAAATTGGCTATTCCTCTAAGGTTATACAAAAATATTTAGTGTTAATCATTATTAATTACAATAATAAAGTAAAAAAATATATTTCCAAAACTTAAAATCCTAAAACCGCTGGGAAATACGCAGTGACTAACTGTTCTGGCGGTCCGCCTTTTATAGGTTATAATCCACGGTATTAAACTATTTAAAAAATCGTCTAGTTATTTCTTATTTTTGAATGGATTTATATGAAACCATGTTATTGTTATATATAAAAGTATCTTTTATTGACATCGGGTCAATCAATAATGTTCCCATCAGCTCGATATGCTTGATAATATTGCTAGTATTACTCATCAAGCATTACTACTGTTATTTTAATCAATTAAGGCCGCATAAACAAACATAACATATGCAATTTTATATACTAATTCATTAAACTAAAATTAATAATAAACATACTGTAATTATATTCCTGCAGATTAAGTGAAAAATTTTGTTCTTAAATATCTATTCTACATGTTATAAACACGTGGTCAAATATTAATTTTGTGAAATATACAGGGTGTTTCAAAACAAATGCGAAAAACTTCAGGGGGTGATTCCTTGTTCAAAATAAAGGGTAGTTTGCTTCATAAACGTTGGGTCAAAAGTCAACCATTAGGGAGATATCGCGGTACAAAGATGGCGGAAAAATAAGGTTCTTATTTTTTATCTTGAAAACGAAAAGAGATAGACTAATGAAATTTTATGGAAGCATTACTGTTATGAAAACACACTTTCTGGTAATTTTTTCACTTTTTTAAAATGAGTGGAAGGGGTTGAAATAAACTACCCCTATCATTCTTGTTAACGAAATTTAAAGAAAAATCTTATCAAACACATGCAAAAAAATTAATTTGGATAGTTTAGTTTGTTTAGAAACTTTTTTATCTCTTGTATTTTTTTTATACAACTCACCGATTTGAAATTAAAAAATAAAATGTAAAGCATTACATGTCAGAACTAAAAATATTTTTAGATTAAGAATCTAGTGATAATAATGATAATAATAATAATCTAAATAATAACGTATTGCAGTAGGGTAATGTCAAATAAAACAATATTAGAAACATCCTAAAAAGTGACAGCGGCCGACTAGATTTTTTCCTAAAAAAATTACAGCTGCCCACTAGATTCTTTATCTAAAAATGTTTTTTGTCCTGACATGTAATGCTTTACATTTTATTTTTTAATTTCAAATCGGTGAGTTTCAAAAAAACACAAGAGATAAAAAAGTTTCTAAATAAACTAAACTATCAAAATTAATTTTTTTTGCATGTGTTTGATAAGATTTTTCTTTAAATTTCATTAACAAGAATGATAGGGGTAGTTTATTTCAACCCGTTCCACTCATTTTAAAAAAGTGAAAAAATTACCAGAAAGTGTGTTTTCATAACAGTAATGCTTCCGTAAAATTTATTAGTCTATCTCTTTTCGTTTTCAAGATAAAAAATAAAAACATTATTTTTCCGCCATCTTTGTACCGCGATATCTCCCTAATGGTTGACTTTTGACCCAACGTTTATAAAGCAAACTACCCTTTATTTTGAACAAGGAATCGCCCCCTGAAGTTTTTCGCATTTGTTTTGAAACACCCTGTATATCAACATAAAACGAGATGTAATTAACGACATACCATCGTAACAACGGCTATTTTAGACACGTCTAGGCTTACTTATTTCACTAAGATTTATAAAAAAAATTCTTTGCCTCGGGTACAGATACCGCCACGTTTTGGAAATAGCTCAAAATGAAACAAAATTGAACCGGGCAACCAAAATCGCCAAAAAAATCCCCCTAAAACATTTTAAGGCGCTTTTAAGAATCGAAAGTAGTTCGACACAAACCAAAGCGGTTCAAGACAACTGGAAATAAATCGAAATGCTTCGAAGAGTTCTCCGCATAGTGTAGAGGCTATTTAACGATTAACTTAAGGATTTTGTAAGCAATAAAACGTCACGAATGGTATTTTTATGTAAATATTAAATACTTTTTTATAATTTCTAGTAGCAGGTTTATTGATAATATTAAATTTTGTTTTTTTGTTTAAGTTTTATGAAGTTACTTGTAGTAAAACTCTGTACCTTAGAACATGAATTAAGTTCATCTATGTTTCTATGAAAAAACATCTCTAAAACTATTAATTTTTTACTGTATTCTAAAAAACCTAATCTATCTATAAAGTATATGAAGAACTTTTTATTTCAGCTAAATAGATTTTAAATCTGCTTAAATTGCTATTCTAAATGTTGTTCCACATGGAGCGGAAGATCGGTCCGACGCGATAGCCATCCTTGCGCGGACGTTAAATGAAAAACGTAGTTTCACATGTGCAGATTGCCAACATAGGTGAAAGTACTCCGTCGTACCTTAAAAATACACACGACGGTCCGCGCGGACGGTCCACTTCATGTGAAACAGCACTAAAAAACTAGAAATAAAAAAGAAGCTCGCATGCGCCATACTTACATTTGCCGTTGAAGTAAGTTTTGCCACACGGCCTTAAGTTCAGTCGTAGGCGCGCGCAGGATCACAGTTTTCCGGTTGGAGTTTTTCCGGGGGGTTCGGCTAAGGTCCGGTCCACAGTGGACAGTAGGGCTGGACGCTAGTTTGTTCGCGTCCGCGTTGACGCATATCCGAAATTCGTTTTCTATGACAAACATCATAATATTGAAATACATAAAATGCAATAAATCTTAAAATTATTGCTCAAATCGTTGTTAAAAATCTTAAGTTGTTTTTTTTAGATGGATTGGCAAAAGTAACCTAGATATAAGAAGTATCGTGGCATAACTTTGTGTGATGCTAGTATATAGGTTCCAGCGTTAAGTGTACCGTGTACCTACCTTTTTTCCTAACATCAAAAAACATATCTGTAATGTGAACTAAAGGCAGCGGATCTTCTGTAATAAAAAGTACCCTATCCCTGGAAGCTTTGGCGAATAGCAGCATGTCGCTGAAGAGCAACGTCCAGTACTGTCGGACGTTTCGACCTTCCACCCTGCTCAGATCGCCACCAAATATCCATTGGCGGCCCGGTTTGTTTAAAACAAAAGGCTGCAAAAATGTTATAATTATTAAGTTGATTTATTCTTAATAAAATATAATAATAATTTTCTCAAAATATGTTATGTTCAACATGACTAAAATGGAATATTTACCTTACACTTAGTAAAAACTAATCTATTTTCTAAATCTTGGACTGATAGCAAAGGTCTACCTTCACCACACGGTTCCATTAGACCTCCTTCCGATGTTATTTCTCTATACGTTACCTAAAAGATAAAACCATAAATTTAAACTAACATAAAACAAAAAATATGTACAAAACATACTTTAGGTTGTACTTTCTAGGTAATTTTTTAGGTTGTAGGCATTTTGATCTAAATTATATACATAAAAATAACTTGATCTTACTTGCAAATCGTGAACAATTTGGTTTATCACAGGAAAATCTTCATGGTTTGATTTCGTATGACCTTGGACGGCCGTGAGAATTTTTAAAACTTCCCTATAATGTTCTAAAGGTTTGTGAATAAATGTAGTAAGATCTGGTCTTCGTCTTGGGATGGTGGGACATTGAACAAACCTAGAAGAAAAACAAGCTTGTTCTAAATTTTTCATTTTTTTCAAACTCGTCAATTATATGATGATATATGGCATGTTTTGTGGTATACAAAACTAGAGCAAAACCTGTGCAAAATACAGAAACTGTCATGCATCTGCATCACGGGAGCTATAAGAAGTAATACGATAATGATCAGAATGGTCATTGATGGATACAATTCTGGGAGAATAATTGTCAGCTCAGAAGCTTTGAATTTGGACACCCTCAAAAAAAAAAATTCCCCTACCCCAACTCTCAGTGAATGAAGTACCAAGAATGTACAACTTTGAGAAACACTTCACTGTCGCATTGAGCAATAAAAAGAATTGGAAAGGGAGAAATGTTTGCTCCATACCATAACGTGGTACACTGATGCTTCCAAAACCAATTACCGAATACTCCGTTAAATGCTCCGAACCAACGGCACCTACCCCAGCGTCCTTCAGGCGGAAATCTGTGCTATCAAAAGATGCGTACAACTTATCATAGATAGGTCAAGCGGTGTTAAAATCAATCAACTCAGTAACAATCAATTTAAGGTTGTTCAAAGAAGGCCTAGAGAAGCTGAACAAATTTGGCAAAGAAAATAAAGTCCTACTCCTACTCTGGGTGTCAGCCCATCAAGGGATAGAAGGCAATGAAAAAGCAAACGATCTGGGTAGAAAAGGAGCAAAAACTCGACTAACTGGACCAGAACCGTTCCGCTTCCCAATTGGAAACCAACTTAAAGCAGAACTCAAGAACCTGGAAGACTCCATCCGTAACCTGGAATGGGAATCCTCCAAAGGTCTAAGACACTCGAAGAAATTCTTTAAGATTTACGACCTAGAAAAATTAAAGATTTTCCTTGATTTAAGTAAGAACAATCTTCAGTTTTTAACAAGTCATTGTCTCCTCAATGAACAGCTCAGTATTTTGAAGCTAAAAAATAACGGCGAATGCCAGATGCTGTGGTTGTAAAATAAAGAAACACCAGAACACTTCATCACTGAGTGCGCCGAAACGATAATCATTCGTACCATAAACTTTGGTACGACTGATGTCGGAGATGGAGAAGTAACCTCTGTAAAACCATCCCAGATAATGGCTTTGGTCAAAGCCCTGAGACTGTATATTGAGTTATAATGCCTTGCTTGTTTTCGTGGATTGAAATAGACGTAATACACAAAATCACAGGGTAAGGACACACAGTGTAAAAGAGATGTCAAGTACTCACAACAATTGTATAAATATACAGCTATAGTAAACTATAAGCCCAGTAAAAACTATATCTTTGTTCTTACCTAACAAAATCTGAGTTGCTATTCTTCATTTTACTCGCTAGCACGCAATCAGCTTTTTTAATACCGGCACAGTATTTCTTATAAGCTGATGTCATTTCGTGTAGCTTACATCTATACACCCTACAAAGCAGGCCAGTGTCCATTTCACCATCCTCGTGAACCAGATGGTCTAAGATATCTTCAGTTATCCTGAGAAGCTACCAAAGATTAAAAACATAGTCAATTAAAGGATTTTCAGTGGACATGGTCGATTAATTTTATTATCAACATCGATAGCTTTAAAGGAAAAGTAGTTATTTTTATACAAGACGATAAAATGGTATTTTATCGTCCACCGAAAAGATTTCGGGAGACGATAATGCAATTTTATCGTCGTGTATAAAACAATATTTTTTTCCATAGCGAGTTCGTTTAAAAAAATATTCAGAAATTATTATTTCAAGGATTTTGTTATGAGTGGAAAAAATATTGTGCTGGGTTGGCATTGGTTTCTATGTAATTTGACAAATAAATAAAGCTGTCTCTTTAGTTGTCAGTTTTGAGTCAATATTTTTTAATTCTCTTTCGTGCCGATTGCTGATTGAATTGGAGACAGAAATGGCTCAAAACGAAATAAGTAAATTACCAACAGATATTCAGACTGAGGCGACAAACGCCATATCCAAACTACTTCCATTTAAATCCCAAATACAGTTCGTCTGCTGGGTCTGTGTCTATGAAAGGAATGCGGACAAAAAACATTTAAATAAACAGCAATATATTTTATACGTCGACTTCACGAGTACGTCACCGCAAATCGCTCCGCCCACTCATTTTATGGGCTACTTGCAAATTTGTCGAATTTTTATTGATGGGACGCGTCGTCTAATTTTTTACGAAAAACATCGAGAGAATATCGTTTCCCCTCTCACGAATACCCCGTAGCCACAGAACGGATAGACGTACTGTAACTTATGAGAGAAAAGGAATATAAAAATTTTCAAAAATGGAAGCAATTAAAAAACGTGCGAGAAGAAATAAAGTTTTTAACCTATCCTCGCTGTTAAAGTACTATTTTATCTACTATTTTTGATAGATATAAGGCAATTTTAACAGTTGCTATGGAAAAAAAAGTTTTTCTATTTGTTAAGAGTACTGCAAATATATTTGTAGGGCATTATTATACTGTAGTAAACACATTTGTATAAAGCAACACATGTATGTCAATTACATAAAGTATGAAGAACTTACTTCCTCACAATTTTGAAACAATATTCGATGTTCTGAAGGAGTTATTAGGTCTCTTCTCTCAGCTAACGATGAGACGAATCGTGTTATTGCAAACTGTAGTGCCGTTGCGTATTGTTGCTCTTTAGCTATCAACTGATACATGGTACGTTTTCTACTCTCTTCAGGGTTAGATATAGGTTTCTGTAAAAGATACTTAAATTGATCATAACTGGTGTTATTATATTTATTAATTTTTTAACATAGAATCAGTAATACAACATTATTATTGTTTACGTTATATAAAAGCACAGCTTAATCAATACCAGCTGGTCAGCCTCTTTGCTACTTTTTCTGCCGCACAAGTTAGTCGAATCTCAATCTCATGTTTAGTGTTCGATCGACTTTATTTTTTAAATACGGACCTCCAAAATCTAATGATCTATAAGCGATACCAAATAAACTTTTAATTACGTCATCATTGTTGCCAACCATGGACATATTCGGCGCCGGGCTGACTAACTGGAATTTAAATTTTCCGCTGGCGATTCAGGTGGTAGCTCTGCTGTAGTAAATGTCAAGTTGCCACATATATTTAATTTTTTCCTGACATTGTCATTCGTTTTGATGGCCTTTTATGTCCGTTAAGTGTTGTTAAGAAGATGAATTTTATTGATGTAAATAATAACCATTTTATATATTTATAATTAATTCGTTTTTATTTCCTAAAATATTTTGATTAAAAGAAAATATGTAAAAGCCGGCAACGCTGTCTTAGTCAAGCTGATAATCACGTGACTAAAAGTTTATTTGGTATATGTACAGTGTATATAAGATGGTGTATAATAATGAACATTGCCATAAAAGGCAATGTGTGGGACAGAGATGGTTATAGGTATCATTTTATTTATAGTGATTGTAAAAAACAATCAACAACACTGTTTTTTTTCTGTTAGGACAAAATAAGCAGTCATTGCGTTAAACAAATAAAAAAACAACAAACTCAAAATCAAAGTAGTATATTTTACATAAAATAAAATAAATTAACAGAATTCAAAAAAATGAGCCAAACAAATAGCAAGAAGAAACATAAATTCAAAATAAAAAATAATAATAAAAATGTACACCAAGCGAAACTCAAACGTTTTTAAACGAAAGTGAAACTGTACAAGTGTATATTTTTATAAATAAATGTATAAATTGTAAATGGTAAGAGCAAAGCAATATCTAACGATAAAGTAAACTATATACAATAAAAATAAATTAAATAAATAAGTATAACAAATTAAAATTATAATTTCTAACTAATTAATACTGGCCTAAATGTCAATTTAGGAATAGGTTTATGGCAACATAAGTAGGATTGAACGTTTTAAGCAAATACAACTGTTAATTATATACTTCTTTTTAATATATTTACGTATTTAAAGACTTTTTTTTATTCGTCTGCAACTGCAGCACTAAGAAAATACATTTACATTTTCGTCATTTTTTCAGCATTATTTCTGCAATCTTATTTACATAAATAAGCGATAATGGGCATTATGATCTATATTACAAGGCATTATATGATCTACAGTATATCCCCGGATTGCCTTTACAAGATGAAAAACTTTTTTATTAATGACATTTTGAGAAAAATGCATTCTTCATAAAAATATTTGCTTGTTTTAAAATAGTTAATCCAGTTTAGATCCATTTTAGAGAAAATTAAGAAAAACATATACAGGATGAGTCTTAAATAAGCGCAAATATTTTCAGCGGTGGTATATTTCGACCCCAGGAACACGTCTATGAGGTTTTTTCGCAAAAAAAAAGATGTCGAAAATCGTGCATTTTCTTTTAAATTTCCCTGTATATTTTTCGAAAACTTTTTAGAACTGCCTGTTTACCGCAAATTTTCCCACGGTATAATCTCTGATATTACCATAGTTACAGCTTTACAGTTCGTCTGTTGGATCTGTGTCTATGAAAGGAATGCGGACAAAAAACATTTAAATAAACAGCAATATATTTTATACGTCGACTTGAGGAGTACGTCACCGCAAATCGCTTCGCCCACTCATTTTATTGGCTACTTGCAAATTTGTCGAATTTTTATTGATGTGACGCGTCGTCTAATTTTTTACGAAAAACATCGAGAGAATATCGTTTCCCCTCTCACGGATACCCCGTAGCCAGAGAACGGACAGACGTACTGTACTCTATGGTTACGGTACTAAAAGGGATGCAAATACAGTAAAAATCCGGTGGCTCTCAAAATTTTTTCAAAAAAAATCATTTTGTTTTATTTTTCAAACTTAAATAACTCGGTTATTTTGGACTTATCTGAAAAATTGTAAAGAGAAAATATGTTTCTTTTATCGAGATCTACCAGCCCTGAAAATATTTGCATTTATTTAAGACTCACCCGGTATATTAATATTGTTATAATATTGTATTTCTTTTAAAAAGTTTTATCAAAATGGGGAATTTAGATATGTTTACGTTTCTGTGTGTTTTAAACTTGTGTAGTCAATGAGAAAATTTTTGGAATATTAGGCTCCATCCCAGTCAAGACTTTAACTTAAAATAAATAATAAATTTAACAGCTGTATTCACCTAAGTTACCTAGAAAAAAACGCGTTAACAAAAATTACTCTGATAACGAATGTACGATACTGATAACGATACGGACAATGTACGTAATTTTAGTCAGATTGAGAGCACTATATCATTTCTGAAAATGGTGAAACTTTTTGCGAAGTATAGACTGGTATTTTGGAATATTATATCCAGAATTTTACATCTAAAAAAACATTTATTGGGTGATCATTATACAGATTAAAATAATAAATACTTTTTTAGGCTTAAAAACTTACCGAACCTACATTTGAAAATTTTTGTGTCTATTTTACTTTTGCCTAGTGATTCCTCAATAGAAAAGGAAAATAGTTCCTATAAATATAGGTTCAGAAATACATAGTTTTAAAGATACAAGATGTTAAAACTTGTTTGAAAAAAAAAAGTTTTTTTGTAATTTTTCTTAAACACCATTATTTTTTTTTAAATTTTCTGTAGGTAGCACTGAATAATATAAATTGTAATTTGTGTCAAGTATTTTAATACTTTGAAATTTTTTTTTGTTACAAATTGTAATTCATTTTTTTATCAGGGTCAACCTTTATTAAGGTCAACAATTATTAGGAACAAACCTAAAACAGCCTCTATACTATTCTCGAAATGTTTCTGGAAATACTTTCAGAAGTAAATTGTTATAAAAATTAGTTCCCACGTTTCGTGAAATTGATCGAGACGGTTATCATATACTTGTTATACTAAGGACTGGCAAAGGTTAGTCTTGGGTCGAAATTTTCGTATGTAAGAAGAGTACAATGCGTTTATAATGTATTGAACAAAGACAGGATAGTAAACACGTTGCCGAACGTATGAAATAAACCGAGAAACTGTGCACATCGCTAAGAGACGTGGAAGGGGATATAGCAGATTTGTCGCAGTTGACCGGTCGACCCAATCAATACCTCTGTCAGTACTTAAAGTTCTAGGGAAAGGTGTACGTCATGCGTTCAGCTTCACGATTTAATTACGTCTCGTGATACTTAATTTGTTTATTTATTAACGAGTCGTTGTAATTTTCCCTATAGCTTGAATTTTTTTAAGTGCAACCTAGAAACACTTGCATTTTTGGTAAAAATAAATGGAATTGAGTGGGTGTTCGATAGTGGTCGCGCTATTAGAACTCTGTATTCAAAAATCAATACCTCGAAATCTATTAGAAATAATAGATTGTAGTTTTTTCAAGAACTTTGTTAATATTTCTGCTGTATTTTATTTGTAGACAGTATGTGAAAATCTTTATCAATAAAAAAATTACACGATTGCTGAAAATTGCTATGTTCTAAAAGTAAATGGATGGATTGTTTACAATTTTTGAATAGAAAAAAACAACCTTATCGAATTTTTCTTATGTAAACATATTGTAAAATATCCGATGTTGAAAATAAAAAAAAGTTTCAATATCTAAAGTGGTTCTTGAGTTATGGCCTGTTATGTGTTAAAAAGTTGAGTTTTTAAATTATCGCGATTTCTGACTTTTTCTCGTTATAAAAAAAATGACACCCTAACGATATCCTTATAATTCCATTTGAGATGCTCAGAAACATGTCTAATGATTTTATCTAGTTATCTCTTGAAAAAAAAAGTCTTTTAAAAATAAACGGTTTGCGATCGTGATTTTACTTTACTTGATAGGGGAAGGCGTATCGGCAACGCCGCAACAGCACACGTCGCGCGTCGCATCGGTCGGTCGCATTTCTCTCACTCCGACTTAATAAGATCCCTATGCGATTTACTTCCACACATGTAAATGCCGACCCAAAAGTAACTGTTGCCAGCACGGTATACTAATTCATTTTAAAGGCGGACTCTGACGACTCGTGTACATGGCAAGTATTTCTTATTGGCATACAGGGTTCGGCGGGAATGCGACGTAGCTCCTATAATAAATAACTTCTGAAATTCTGTATAGATGTCCAACGCACCGTGTATACCCTGTATACCAGTTACAAATGTTTTTCAAGTACACGAGTGGTGAGAATCCGCTTCAATGAAATTGAATAATAAATATATTGTAATTCTATTCCTGCAGATTGAGTGAAAAATTTTGTTCTTAAATATCTACTATACGCTCTTAAATATCTACTATATATCTACTTAAACGCGTGTTCAAATATTAATCTTGTGGAATATATATCAACATAAAACGAGATGTAATTAACGAAATATCATCGTAACAACAGCTATTTTAGAAACGTCTAGATTTACTTATTTCACTGAGATTTATGAAAAAAAAGTCCTTTGCCTCGGGTACAGATACCGCCACGTTTTGGAAATAACTCAAAATGAAATAAAATTGAACGAGGCAACAGGAAACGCCAAAAAATCCCCCCACACCCTCCTCACGAGTAGTTTCCTGGCACTTTTAAGAATCGAAAGTAGGTCGAGGCAAACCGAAGTGGGAGACCTTCACCTGCTTCTCTGTGTTCTCTGCATAGTGTAGAGGCTGTTTAATGTTAAATGTTATAAAGTTCTCAATCTGACTTAAATTTTTGTCTGAAATTTCGTCTTCGAGTGTGTATTAGCAGCAAAAAGGTTACTATAACAAAAAGCATATCCGTTTTTATCTCAAAATTAAATCACTTCTTTCACACATTCAACCTCTTCATCAAAATTACACTATGAGGCCGTCACCAACCTCCGAACTGAAGGTGACCTGGGGGAGGTTCAGTTTCCGCCTACGATAGTCGACCGAGGCCGTATTCGTCGAGCACACTGTCGAAGGCCTACGAGGCTGAAAAGCGACCGTCGTCGCGGTGCTGCTCGGTATGTTGACGTTGCTGTCAGTTCGAAGAGAACTGGGCGCGATCAGGGTGGTGGATTTTTGGAGCATACTAGGCACGGATCCGTTGCGCGAAGGGTTCCTCCGGAATATTTCCAGGGTTAATTGACTGCCGTAGGATCTGGAACAAAAGAAAATGTCAATTTTATTATGTCAGATTGGTATTTTTAATCCAATTTAATTGTGTGAGTCAAAATGGAAGCGTATTTTGAGTATTTTTTATAATCATAATAGTGTTTAGATTAGGTAAATAATATGCATAGAGTTCTATTTAAAATAATTATACAGGGTCCGGCAATAGTGCGTCGGGCATCTGTAGCTCCTAGAATAAAAACCTGGGAATTTTGTTTAAATGCCAGCCTAAAATATGTACTAGGAATATATTACAGGAAAATATTTTAACTTCTCTAGGATGGCTCAAAAAAGTGTGAGGGGATCAAGATGATTTTTTTAGTGGAACACCCTGTATATTATTGCATTTTTGGCTTCCTTTTAGATCGCTTTTCATAATCCTAAGATATGGGTAAATATGTTTCAATAGTTTCAGAGATATTAATAAGTAAATAAAAAATATATGTTTTTCAACCTTTTAAAAAAAATAGATTCAAAAGATGTTCAAAATTCTACGCCAAACTTTCTAAAATTTAAAATAATTTTTCTTGGTTTTTTTAAATGTTCACCAATAATCACCTTGTATATTATTGTTTAATAGATGAAAAATTAAGAATTGAACATTACTTGTATTTAAACTATTTCAAAAATTTTGACGGTTTCACAGATATTCACTATTTTATATTTCAAATGGCATTTTCCACAGTAAATTTTTATCAAAGCCACCCAATGATTTTTCTCTTGTACCGTATGATCGAATAAAAACGGCGTCAGCGATGGCTATGAAATGAAGATCGCTGTCATTTCATATGTAAATTTATATGGGAAATGTCATCGATCGTCATTTCCAAGCCAACTGGACGCTGTTTTTATTCGATCATACGGTATTTTAGGTACCGTTGAAAAAGCCATATGAAATAATAACGCGAGTATCTGCAAAACCGTTAAAAATTTTGAAATAACTGCTTTAAATACAAAAAATTTTCTTTTTAATTCTCCATTTAATAAAAAATAATATACAGGATGTTCCATTTAAAAAAAAAACAAGAAAAATTATTTTATATTTCAGAAAGTTTGGTGTAGAATTTTAAACACCCTGTATGTTTTAAGATTACGATATTTATAGCGAAGTAGGTATAGACCAAGAACAGTTAACCTAATAGGACTGCTCATTCAGCCAAAAGTGTCCGCCAGGTGCACGCGAAAACTACTCGCTTTGTGACGTCATTGTAGCCCTTGTCATGGTTATTAGTCCTTATCCGGCAACCAATAATACACACACGTGCATTATTGGTTACCGAATGCAAAACGTTCATTATTTAGTTTATTTATTTAAACACCTTATATGTATGCAGTATAGAAAATTAACTGTATAAATCGTATTAAATGCTCGGATAATGCATTTTTAAGAACAGCAGTTCCCAGCATCACCTTTTGCAAGCATTCTTTTTAGAGTACTTCCATATTTTGCTTTAAAATAATTAATAAACAAAATCGTGGGCACTTAGTATGCACTTTGTCACAATCTACAACACAAAATGAACGTATTTATACACTCTATAGCTCGAAAAACTTTAAAGACACCTTTTTCATATTTAAAATTAACAAAATAATTAACTCAAAATTTCTCAGCTGTTATTTTTATAAGTTTACCATAGGCAACTAATAATACACACTATAATGACAAGGCCACGAAGGCTTTGACAAGGGCTACAATGACGTCATAACTGTCAGCTGAAGCGCGGGAAGAGGCGAATACGTACTTTAGGTTTGCGTATAAACAAAATTTCTAACTTTTTTATTATAGAAGCTACAGATGCCCGAGGCACTATTACCGGACCCTCTATACCGGGTGCGCCTCAAAAATGGCTCACCCCTATTTTTTAACTGACCAGGATAAGACACTAACAACATTAGACGATAAAATCTGTTTTTCCGAGGCTCCTTGATTAAAAGTTAGTGTTTTTAACACAGCAACGGCGTTCTAAATTGAAATTTAAAATGCAATTTTGTTTTAAGCGAAAATGTCAACAGTTGACATATATACCTCCTTATTTTAGGTCATTTTCTATGGAATAATGTAAAAAAATACCGAGGGTGTCATTTAAAAATCAAAAGTTGTAGTAATTTCCAGTGAAACAGGAAGTAACCAAAAACAATTGAATACGTCATTCAGTCCTAATTTATGTAATATACTAACATACCAAACCTCGTTTTTTTTTTACCTAAAAAATAAAAAAGTTATAGGGGTGAGCCACTTTTGAGACGCACCCGGTATAATATTCAAAACTTTTTAATTTACATTCATCTAGCCCTCTGACATAGAAAAAAGAACGAATAATTTGATGAAATCTTCACGTTTTTGCGGTTTAACTTTCAAATCCGCTTAAAACCGTCATTTCCTTCCAGAAATAACTTAATTACTTCCTTCGTCAAGTGTCAAAGCGCGATGACGACAAAAGTAATCTATCATTTTCCAGAAAGTCGCGTAGTAAACAGGTTAGGTTCGCCAAAAATTGCCTTTTCGTGCCCTGCAAGGCCCTAAATTGAATTATTCACCAGTGCGAACTTCCGAATAGTTTCACGCAAATCCGCCCAATCATTTTCATCACCTATATTATTTATTTTTAATAATATACTTCGTCTCCTCTAATATGGTTTGAGAATGATTGCTCTTTGTGCTTCGTTCTGGTATATTATCGATATTAGAATAAATTTAATCGTTTCTGTATTATATTTTGTTAGAATGGTCTTTGATAATATGCAGAAGCCCGTGTCTCCATTTTACGGTTGCGGCTGAATTAATCTCTCAGTTACTTTGTTGAATATTTTAGTTTCTATGATGCTACAGCTCTACTTAACCAACGCATCTTCGAAAGTACCCATTTCTATACTTTTGCGCTCAAATTTTTTTGTACGAAGTGTACAAAAAGCGGTTCTGTAAAGAACAATTTTTGACTGTAAGGTCTGCTAGCAAAACATTTTAAGCAATTAGAGGTATCACAACACAATTCACTTAAACCAAAAACTGATAATACAAAACTAGGGTGGGCAAAGATTGGACGAGTCGTTCATTTGAACGAGTATTAAAAATGAATCGTGTGATTCGATTCAGTGCTTAGAATACGCCCATATAGCACGTCCAAATGAAATTACGTTTCTACAAGGGAGACACATGAGAAATAACATATGTTAAAGTGAACCTAAGTGTTCATCTAGTTCTAACATATACATATGAGTTACACGCAGGTTTATATTGATAGAATTGTGTGATACAGTGTTTATTAGTTGTATACCGTATGCACTCAAGATTCTAAAGAGTTTTTTGTAACGTAACAAATAATTATTAAAATGATGAAATCTGACGTCGGTATATGAGACATACAATGTATAAGTCATACGTATGTGTGATACTTCGTATCATAGTTGTGCCTATAGTACACACCTTGTAAAAATGTGACGTATACACATAATATAAATATCTATATAGACACTTTGTAATAGTGTACTGTTGTGTCTACATTCTAGCATGAAATGAAGGTGTGCGCATGCGCGGATAGCCTCAGCGTAGATACACCGACCAAGTGTATCTTATGTGTCCTCTCTCCTTTCTCCTTTCTAGGAGTGGTATGTGTTAGCAGCCATTATTGTTTTATAATTCGGAAGCTCTATATAAATGTTCTGTTTGTGTGTAGTTTAAAAGAGATTTTAAGGTAAGTACAAGTTTTTAATTACCTTGTTACACCTTCCTAAGAGTATTATTAATATTATAGCAGCGACTCTTCTCTTACTCAATACCCAATTTACCAAATTTTGACTCCAATGAATGAAAACTCCAAATATTCTCCTATAATGATAACGAGGTTAGCTGAGTTAGCTCTGCAATATAATTTTTTTTAATTTGGAAATAATAAAAATCTAAATGGACAAGAGAATGAAAGATTTAAACACTTCAAAGAACTTCTTACACTGATATTCGATAAGTTGTTATGGATCAATATACAGATGTGTTTAATATTCAATAATCAGTTTCATATAAAATTTAAGGGTGAGATTGTTAATCTGGAAATAAAATACAAAGTCCAACAGAGTGCTCGATGGATGAGTATGCTAATAAACCAACTGCTTGGAAGGAAAAGAGGAGAAAAAAATGACTAAACGAAGTCCACCAAATCGTGGTGATATACCAGTGTTTACCATTTTAGTATGTTGTTATACTAGGTTATCTATATTAACTTATGTTAACTTATATTTTTAATACATTTTGATATATATTCTGTTCTTTTACAGTGTTTTCTTGCTCCTGATCCCTGCAGTGTAAATAATTATTATTATTGTGTTATTTGCGCTATTGCGTTCCATGATATAAAGAAATATAAGAATCTTATTTTTTAACCATTTAATCCATTTGATGGAAGAAAAATGGTACATTTAATACAAAACAAAAATGGAACAATTTTAAGGCTACTTCTCTTGAACTTACGATCGAGATACTTTTGGAAAATACGTAAGTTTTGCCTTCCTAATTTTCGTTCTAAAAAGATATAATTGGTATCATTGAATAAATATTTCTTAAAAAGAACGAAAAGTTAGGCATCAAAACTTGTATTACTTCCTAAATTCGTTCATAAGAAGTAGTTTTATCTAGCACAAGATGTATATACTAAGCAAAATACATACGTATACACGCGGTAGTCACAACTGCAATGTGTAAACATAGTTTAAACGTAATACACAAGCACTGTATATCCTACGGCACACTGTGTATCCCTTACTTTGTGTATACGTAAATGCTATACTGTGGCTACATTGTGAGGCGGACGTTTAACCTTTGTGCATACGTGTTGAACTACAATGTGTAAACGTAGCATATTTACATCGGGGGAATTGTGTCACCCTGTGTCTACATCTAATAATGTAAACACATCGTAAATGTGATTTGATGTGCTGTATGGGCGGTTCGTTCAATTGAATCGTAGCCAGCACGGATTCATAAGAGTCGTGAGAATTGATTCATTGCTTGCAATACGGTTCACTCAATCGTGGCCGGCACGGATTCATAAGATTTGAACGATGAGCCGTAAAAAAGAATCGTGAGAATTGAATCGGATCATAATGCGATCGTTCGTTCAAAGAGTCGTGAGAATTGATTTATTGCTTACAATACGGTTCGTTCAATTGAATCGTGGCCAGCATGGATCCATAAGATTTGAACGATGAGACGTAAAAAAGAATCGTGAAAATTGAATCGGATCACAATGCAATCGTTCGTTTCTACGGCGCGGCGGTGATATAGGCACAGAGTCAAGCACCAATATGTAGACTTGAACAAAAGCCCTAAACAAACATCATGCGCATAAAATGCAAACGATAAGAATGTTATTTACAAGAAAAAAACTTATTTATACTGTACTTAGTACGGGTGTATCTGTAAGATATTTAATTTTTACGTTAATATTTTTGTTAAAATAGTATTACCGACTATAAACCATTGAATGTCGGACTAAAAGACGAAATCGTATTTTTATGCAACTCCAAATAAATATTGTTGGCCTCAGCTCAATATGATAAAAAAAACGGCGTCAGCAATGGTTGTAAAATAAAAATCGCTGTCATTTTATATGTAAAATTATATGGGCAATGTCATCGATGTTCATTTCCAAACCAATGGAAATGAACTGGATGGAAAAAATGTGTTGATAATTTAATATTATTAAATAATAATTTGTAAAATGATCAATTCAATTACGCTAGTGTCACAAAGTGTTAAAAAACAAATGAAAGAAGTGTAAGTATATTTCTTTTTTGGTACCTTAAGTAATTGTCCGATCAAATTATCGCCGGTAGTGCCAGTTACGATTCTCGTTTTTATGAAACGTAAATTGTGTATGTGGTTTGTTCAAATGAACGAATCGTAGGAGTCAATTCAATATGGGAAATTGAATCGTGTGATTCGACTCACTAAAAATAATCGTAATGCCCATCACTAGTGGCAACTTGACATTTTTTACATCAAAGCTACCACTTGAATCGCCAGCGAGAAATTTAAATTCCAATTAGTCAGCCCGGCACCGAATATGTCCATGCTTGGCAACAATGTATTTAATAATCGTGCCCTCGATGACGTAACTAAAAATTGATTTGCTATTGCTTATATGTATAAATTAATTTCAGTTAAATTGTGTAAATTAATGAAGTTAATATAAATATAAATTCTGATAATTAAATATTACTTTTGTTTATTTTCTATTCACTCATAAATAATAATCATCCTAATTAATCTCTTCCGAGGACTTTAAAATTCTGCTAAATTTTTTCCACGGCGTTTTCTATTAAATAAAAGAAATTGGCCTCATTATTAGAAAATTAAATTATTTATTATTAGATTTCTTGATAATTCAAAACGAATTATCGTTAGATAATTCAAAACGAATTATCGTTATGCCGTAACAACGGTGATTTTGTTAATCAACGAGAGATTTTATTAATTCCTAATGAAATTTCATTGAATTCAATTCCAACCTTAATTGGTTTTTATTCGCTTTGGTCTGTATTGATTTATTTATTTGCGCTTTTAATTTAATAATTTTTTCTAAACTGAAATTAAATCAATGCCATTTGCTAGTTCTATAAAGATATTTTTATTTTTTAAACCTTATATAATTAAAATATTCTTGGTTGGTTAGGCATATTTGTATACGACTTTGAACCAAGGAAGAAGTCTGATTATATTCATGTATTAGAGGGCTTTTCTGAGCATTTCATCATCATCATCATCATTTTCAGCTTATTCAACCATTTCCAATTATGGTGTAGACTATTAGCATAGTTCTAACATCCCTTACTTTAGTTTTTCCTAAGGGATGTTAGAAGTGAAGTAGCAAAATTGAAATGGAAGTTTGCCGGTCACAATGTCAGGCAGAAGGATGATCGATGGAACAAATGCATCGTAAACTGGAGGCCCTGGGAGAATAGAAGAAGTAGAGGAAGATCCCAAATGAAATGGGCGGACGATCTGAGGAAACATGCACGCACAAGATGGATGAGCACGGCGACAGAGAGGGAAGAGTGGAAGAGATTGGGGGAGGCCTGTGTCCAACGATGGACCGAAGAGGCTGAATAGATAAATAGATTAACATAATTAGATACTCTCTTTGTAGTTGGGCCCATTGCTGTGTCTTGTTGGCTATGTCGGTCCAAGTTATCACTGCTAATTTCCTAATATCATGGTCCCATTTCAGGTTCAGTCTTCTGTTCTGGGTACCATGCTGTAATTCTTGTGGTCCATCTACTGTTCGTTCTTCTTGACAGGTGTCCTGCCCATTGCCACTTGACGGATTCGACTACCAGTCATGACTTATGACTGGTAATACACAATTAATTTTTTCCTTCTGTTTTTATATATTCCTCTCACTATTTCAATTTTTATTTTGTGATGACCTCGGTTAAGGGTATTGTGGCGGGTTGCTGTTGGCTGCCTCCGCAGCTGTGCTAGACGAAGCCCACAATCCTGGGCGACTTTAGTTCTTGGCTGCAAATTGGGGTCTTAGGCTCCCGTTTGCTCCTTTTGTTTTCATCATCTGTTTTTTTTTTCATCTACTAGGTTACAGACGGTACCTCGTGCGTCGTTTGCTTCCTGGTTTATATTTTTTGGGATCGTTGTCATCGCTTGCTGATTCCTTACCATACTGATGATGCTGGAAGGCAGTTACACTAGTGTACACTGATGTAGGTGTGGTTGTTGTGTGTGAGTGTGAATGTCTACAACAGTGTACATTGGTGTATACGGTTACGAGTTTGTTGAGGGCTTGCCGATTAATTTTTTCCTTCTGTTTAGTGTTTGATACCAATTAAAAGTTTTAGTTACTTAATATCGGGCGCAATTTTTAAATTCGTTGTTGCCAACCATGAATATATTCGGCACCGGTCTGAATAACTGGAATTTAAATTTCCCGCTGGAGATTCAGGTGGTAGCTCTGCTGTAAAAAATGTCAAGTTGCCACATTTATTTATTTATTTCCTGACATTGTCATTCGGTTTGACACTTTAGTTTTGTATTACGAGTTTTTGGTTTAAATAGATAGTGCTGTGATACTTTAAGCTTAAAAATGTTTAAAAAGCAGACGTTGCGATCGCACATTGTTCTTTCTAGAACCTCTTTTAATGCGAAGTGTACAAGATAGCTTAACAGCCGTAAAAAACTCATCGCAACTTTATTAGAATATTTTGAACGGGAATTTATGTTCCATAAGTGCTGTTCAGCAGGTGAGTTTTGTTGATGTAAATAATAACTGTTTATATATTAAAAAATAATTTATTTTTGTTTCCTAAAATGTTTTGATTAAAAGAAAATATGTAAAAGCAACGCTGTGCCGGGGAAGGTTAATCACATGACTAAAAGTTTATTTGATAGGAACTATAGTTGGTTTATCCTGTACAGAAAAGCTTGTAAAAAGCTTGGCTTTACACTGAAAATATTATGATTAATCCTCACCTAATGAGATTAAGGATATCGATCTCGGGCATCATGACCACGTTATTCTTATCCACGAAAATGATGTAGTCTCCTGGCAGGATGCCCGCCCGGTCAGCGGGCAGTCCCTTTTCCACCCTTTCGATTCTCGGAGGGTGGGTCCACACCACCGAGAAGCCGAAGCCGGACTTGGGAGGCCTGACCAGACGCTTGGTCTGCGTGAACGGTGTCCTGGAATCAAAAAAAAAAAAAGAAAAATGAGAAAATATTTAAAAAAAAAGAAAAGAAATGGGACAATCTGTACAAAAAAACTTTTTTGTAAAACTTAAATCATGAACGCTAATCGCATTTGCACCGCAATATACTAGTTGGCTTCATGTCAGACTTAATAAGGATTAACTTTAGCTTAGGTGCGATATAATTACACACAATCCGATATTCCTCAGTTCACAGAATCATAAAATAAAATACTGTAGAATTTCTTTATTAAATAATCTATAACCGCTATAGTTATACAGGTTGTTTAAAAAAACATGAACATTTTTATATCAGCATAGATCTGATTCTGCTTTGTTTCGTAGCTGAGGAGTCTACTTTTTTCCAGTTTATTATAATTTGCTTCTAAGCTCCTCTAGCGATTCGAATGATATTTTTAGGTTACCTAATTATAACATAATTTTATGCTAAAAAAGTGTCGACAAACTCACCAGGGCAGGGGGTCAAATTCAACGAGCGTAACCATAGTTTCTCGATATATAATTACATACAAGGTATGATTTAAATCTTTTTATATTATTTGGAACGTTTTAAAAAAATTATTTGCCGCGTTTAAAAAAAATAACCAAACGTGCTCTCTCGCCACGAAAGGTGTCATTTTTACTCCTAATAAAACAATATACTATAGATTTTTTTGGAAATATACTATAGCTTATGTAAATTTAACAGTTCAGATTGATTTATTACGTAAACAACACTATTTCTTTCCATTCTTTCTAGCGCCATTGCGTCGAAATTCTTCCGAAACTGTAAATTTAAATATCCGTACTAACCTCCCGAATTTATTTCCAGTGGCTTTTCTCTGCATAGCCGCTGGAATGGCGTCGGGGCCCTCGGTCGGATCCAGCTCCAGGTATCTAAGGAATAAGTTCTCGTCTGCATGTTTCTGCTGCTCGCTTAATATGGCTTTATTACTTGACCTAGAAAGAAATAGAATAATTAGAACATACTTCCCTACTTTACAATGCTAAAAAAAGGTGTAGTTTTATTATAAAGAAAACGGCGTCAAAGAAGGCTGGGGAATAAAAATCGATTATAATTTTGGCGAGGTCAAACCCTAGACATCATTTATATGGCCCGTACTCTTCTTTATTTTTTAATGGCGCTACTGCCAGTTGGACTTATGAAAGTTGTAATTTATTTTATATTGAGTAAAAATGAATTCCAGAAAAAATATTTTTTTCAAATAGATTTGTGTCTGGAAATATTCTATCCTTTTTTAATCATTATATAATTAGTGTTAATTTTTGACAAGTTTTATGTCAATTTTTAGTAAAAGACCATCGATTTCCCAGCTATCTTTGACGCCGTTTTCTTCTCGATCATACGGTAGCAAAAAGAATTGAGTCTCATAGTTCTACGAATTATGCACGAAATAATTCAATTCTAATCTTTCAGAATAAAACTGCTGCATTATGAGAATTATTTATCATGTTAAACAATCTCTTTAATAGAAATTTACGTAATAAGTCTGATAAATCAACTTTTTACAGTATGAGTTGACTTACAGACAAATGACTGCAGACATACATTGATGCAGACAAATGACTTACAATGTTTTATTTCATAATCTTTGATTAAAGCCTATATTTTTAAATAATTGTGTATTTTTTAATCCCCTTGTGCATGTTTTGATACTATTATATTTACTGGAAGACACATTATCTGTATCTTGAAATCTTCAAATAAATAAATAAATCAAATTCATGTACGTCAATTGAAACGTCAAATAAAACTGTCAAACATGGAAGTTCATGATGTCGCTTCCATCTCTAATGCATGAATATATTCGATATCAATTAAACTTTTAGTTACGTAATCGAGGGCGCGATTTTTAATTCATTGTTGCCAACCATGAACATATTCGGCGCCCGGCTGTCTAACTGGAATTTAAATTTCCCACTGGGGATTCAGGTAGTAGCTGTGCTGTAAAAAATATCTGTAAAAACATTGTGCGCGTTCAGGGAACTGACTGTTTTGGCATGTAAAAAGAGACCGTTTACGGAAACCGCTTACTCAGCCACTCAGCCGCTGACCGTCCCTGAACGCGCCCATTATTATTCGTTTTGACACTTTAAAAAAAAATGAATGAATTGTGTCGTGATACTTTAAGCTTAAAATTTTTTACTAGCAGACCTTGCAGTCGAACATTGTTCTTTTTAGAATCTCTTTTATATAGTGCGAAGTGTACAAGATAGCTTAATAGCCGTAAAAAACTCATCGCAACTTTATTAGAATATTTTGAACGGGAAAGCAGTAGTAATGGCCCTTTATGTCCCTTAAGTGCTGTTAAGAAAGTGAGTTTTGTTAATGTAAATAATAACAGTTTATATATTTATAATTAATTAATTTTTCTTTCCTAAAATATTTAGATTAAACAAAAACATGTAAAAGTGGGCAACACTAGTGCCCGTCAAGCTTAATCACGTGGCTAAAAATTTATTTGATATGAACTATACATGGTTAGCATCTTTTTATTCAAAATATATGCTTTAAACATTAACCAATATAAGCAGTTTTGTTGTTTTTTAACCTATTTAGTTACCTTTTTAGATCGTTATCTATGCCATCCAAGCTCAATATCTCCTCAGTGACACTGCCGCACCCTTCCTGGCTGTTCTCGCCCATGTCGCTGACTTGCCGGTGACAGGTCACCTGAAAGTCGCTGTCCACGAATTCATTGGAGATCAGCACGTTACCCAATCGACCTTCGGATTGAGGAAGCAAACGATAGGATCCTTCGATAACCTGGAAAAATTAATAAAGAAATGTTAGTCATGAACTAACAAGTTGTGCAGAAATTGTGTGTGCAAGTTGTGTAAGATAATAATTTGTTAAATAAGTACACATTAAATTATTTATAATATACGGTAATCGCAAAACATATTCCGATATTTATCAATCATATCGAAATTGACACTAAAACCTATAAACTCGACGCAAAATGTTTAAATTTGTTGTATAATTTAAGATATCGAACCGCTCTTTATTTTACTTCATAGAGCAAATGATTGTAACAGATACTTTATTTAGATTAAAGCTGCATAAATTAGTTTAAAACGATTTTTTTATCGCCATGTTGGTTACATTGCGCCGCGATCAGCAACGTTGTCGTTTATTATTTGACAATTATCATAATGTCAGTCATTATTTTGTATAATACCGTGTTGTTGTTGAATCTTTGGGAGTAATTCTCATTTTTTGCCGATTTTCGTAGTCTTTTTTCTAAAAATTGCACTTTTAAGCACAAACAGTTCTTTTAAGAACTAAATTTTCGAGATTTTTTATTGAATTTCTTGAAATTGTGTGTCGAAAACATGCCGAAGCATTTAAACAGTTGAAGCAAAGAGCTTGTAGCTTTCCTGATAAACTATTTTGAACGAGAACGTGACAATAAAGGTCCTTTATTACGCTCGACTGCAGTCAGAGAAGTAAGTTTGATTGGTAAGCACATTATACCACCACAGATTATAGAGATTATAATCTTTGTTTTTTGTTTTTTGTTTTTCGTGGTTCCAATTTTCGGAATCGGGCACTAGTTAGGTGACTAGTTTGCGCACATAGCACGCCCACTTATGGCCTCTAAAATTGTGCACAGCGCCTGACCGGCACAGTTATTAGAGAGATATCGGAAAACCGAATAGCGTCATCCAATATTTACGCGTAACTTATCATGGTTACGATATGCGCGAGTCAATTTTCAACGCAACACCCGCTAATAACGTTACAGCCTCACGTAATTTGCGGATCAATTACATCAAGCGCTCTTTCTAAATAACCTCTGATAACGTTTAAAAATTGCTTAAATGGGCATGTGCGGGTATTTGACAACCGGAGCCGGCCGGCGAGATCTTTTATTTTAGGTTATGTTTGAATTGTTTTGAATTTTTGCTTTAGTTTTATTAGGTAATTTGATATTTAAGTAGCTGGGATTAGCTTTAATTAAATAAATATGACCCAAAATATGGATTTCACCTCTTCCAATACTAATGAACCTATAAAGAGTCTTAGGTTTACAGCAGATGACGACTTAGCCCTTCTAAGAGAATTTGTTGCTTGTTGCCCTAAACCCACTGGCAGACGTTGAACAATAAAGCCCTGGAAATAAGCACTTTAGCCCTTTAGTTTTAAAATACCTAGTAAACAAAACAATTTCAAAGTTTCAAATTCAAAGTTAGGTTAAGTTTAAATAGCGGACGCGACGCGATCAAAATTCTTTCCGATCCGATAACTATAAATGAAGAGAGTTAATACCGCCTCACGTAAAGGAAATAACACCTGGCCTTATTAACATCCATGCACGCTATTCGGTTTAGCGATATCTCTCTATTACGCTGTTTATTGTTATTTTACGCGAGTTTATTTTTGCGCACAGAAAATTTGACTCGTTTGCACATCGTCATAAAAAACAATTTTCGTACCACGAATTAGGGACAAGATTTTTATCTGTATACTTATAGGATACCTAATCTGAGATACCACTTTCAAAGTTATTTCTACTTATGTCGATTTGGAGCGAGTAGCTGCTGCCTAAAATTTAAATATTGTTACTGCGAGTGTTAGTGACTACTATTAATAAATAAATTAATTACTAAAACATTAATTATTAAATTAAAAATAAAACGTAAAAATCTTTAAATATGATATAATTGTTTCCTAATTTTACATTAAGATTCACCTCATAATCCATCACAATCTTGTACGTGCATCGAAAATTTTCTTTAAAATTTAATATAGTAATAAGAATAATTTTTGTTACTGCGACCAAATATAAGATAATTCGTACAATTTGGAAAATTATTTATCAGCAAATTTTACAAATTAAAAAAAAATGTTTTTAGATTTTTATTCGTTTAATGTATCTCCAGTAAATAAATACAAAATACGTTAGAACGCGTAACTGAGCTTTCTACTCTAATAAAGAAATATTTGCTTTTGGCAACGAGCTCGAGACTTGAGATATGTTTTTGGTGGAGATTGAAAAACTTTTCCTGAATAGAGACTGCGGTATTTTCAGTGTATCCCCGTGCAAACGTCCCTATATAAATTTTAAAGTTTCGAATTTATGCACACGTGGCGCTGGCATCTGATATAATGTGAGTGAGACATAAAAGAGTATAGGGTATTCTGTAGGAACAACATTATAAAACTATAGAGGAAGTTCTTAGGTATATAGTTAGGTTTACGAAAAAAATTACAGAAATAAATTAAATTTATTATAATGATAGTTTCACGGTTTTTGGATTTTTGCAACTACAGTATATACAGGGTGGTCCATACTGTTTTGAAGAGTAATAACTTTTTGTCCGTACCTGTATAAGACTACTGAGTAAAAAAACATACATTTCCCTGATTTGTTACGTAAAAAATGTCTCTTGGTAAAAAAAACCGTTGTCAAGATATTTAGAATGGAAATAGTCAATACAAGTCATTATTGACAAAAAATAAACACGTTGAGTAGATAGTTATTTGACTGAAATAATAAATTTGGGAAATGTTTATTTCTTTAAATTAGTCATAAATTTTTCAGCCAAAAATTGATGATAAAACAGTTTCTGTTGAACTTTTAGCACAAAACCATTTCAAATTTATGATTTCAGTCTAATAACTATTTAGTCAACATGTTTAATTTATGTCAATGATGACAGGTATTGATAATTTCGATTACAAATATCTCGAGAACCATTAATCGGCAGCGATTGTTACCAAGAGGCCTTTTTTACGTAAAAAACGTCGTAAATGTATATTTTTTACTCTATGGTTTTATACAGGTACGGACGCAAACTTATTATACTTCAAACCAGTTAAAAACTATGTAGGTTGCGCCATCTACAAATAGGAGTCATATTGACATCAAAATCGCATTTCTCATGTCAAAAACTCCTAGATACCAATTTTCATCGAAATGTTGACGTTACTTCAAAAATTATTTGGAAAAAATCGAAATAAAAATGAAACTTCTTCACCCTGTATCTGCGAAGCTAAGCGTTTTGGGATATATATTTATACGAACTTTTTTACTTATTTTTATCTGCAGAATATGCTGACGAAGTTTCCGGAATACAGTTCGGACCACTCTTTATATTAATTTTAATTAATAGGAAAATGAAAATTTACTACGTCACTGGTTTTGTTACACACACATTTGTTAAAAATCCATTAATCGTATCAAAAGATATGTTATTACACAGTGTATCTTGTCTAAAACTATAAAGGGGATATTTTAGCTCGTTTAAGTAACATCTTTGCTGGAACAAAAAAAGCCGGTTTTCCTGGAAACCCCAGACGGAAATTAGGCTTGCCTTCCGGGCGATTTTCCTCATGCAGGAAATTGAACGTTTCGTCAAATATACAACGACCGCTTTTTCCAATCTATTTCGCCATCTTTGAATGGCTGACGACTGACGTAATTGGCCGGAGATTAACTGTTAATTAAAATAAGGCCCAATTTTATTCGACAAAAAAGTTTCACCAACAGTTAACAACCCAGTTGGTAGATGGAAAGGTTTATAGTTTTTATTGCCGATTTACGAGGACGATTTCATTTATGAATACATAATAATAATAATAATAATAATAATAATCGTCTTTATTGAAGAAAAAAAGTATGTGTGAAAGTTCAGTGTAGTGAAAACACAACTATGCTTAAGAGTTTACGATGATATAGCAATGTATAAAAAAGTAGGTATAAAAAAATATACGAAATAATATACATGTACTGATTTTATTTCGAAAATCGACAACTATGAAACTATGAACCCTTCCCGGACACAAACGGTACATTGTGAGACAGAAAATTGTAGAGAGAAACAAGCCCTATAACATAGGATACAACATTTTAATGAACAGTGCTTTCCATAAAATCAAGAAAATGAAAAATATACGAAATTATATACATGTACTGATTTCTTTCGAAAATCGACAACTATGAAACTATGAACCCTTCCCGGACACAAACGGTACATTGTGAAACAGGAAATTGTAGAGAGAAACAAGCCCTATAACATAGGACACAACATTTTAATGAACAGTGCTTTCCATAAAATGAATAAAATGAAAAATATATGAAATAATATATATGTACTGATTTCTTTCGAAAATCGACAACTATAAAACTATGAACCCTTCCCAGACACAAACGATACATTGTGAAACAGGAAATTGTAGAGAGAAACAAGCCCTATAACATAGGATACATCATTTTAATGAACAGTGCTTTCCATAAAATGAATAAAATGAAAAATATACGAAATAATATATATGTACCTACTGATTTCTTTCGAAAATCGACAACTATAAAACTATGAACCCTTCCCGGACACAAACGATACATTGTGAAACAGGAAATTGTAGAGAGAAACGAGCCCTATAACATAGGATACAATATTTTAATAAACAGTGCTTTCCATAAAATCAATAAAATGAAAAATATACGAAATAATATACATGTACTGATTTCTTTCGAAAATAGACAACTATGAAATTATGATCCCTTTCCCGACACAAACGGTACATTGTGAGACAGAAGATTGTAGAGAGAAACAAGCCCTATAACATAGGATAAAACATTTTAATGAACAGTGCTTTCCATAAAATCAATAAAATGAAAAATATACGAAATTATATACATGTACTGATTTCTTTCGAAAATAGACAACTATGAAACTATGATCGCTTCCCCGACACAAACGGTACATTGTGGGACAGAAAATTGTAGAAAGAAACAAGCCGTATAACATAGGATACAACATTTTAATGAACAGTGTTTCCCATAAAATGGATAAAATGAAAAATATACGAAATAATATATATGTACTGATTTCTTTCGAAAATCGACAACTATAAAACTATGAACCCTTCCCGGACACAAACGGTACATTGTGAGACAGAAAATTGTGGAGAGAAACAAGCCCTATAACATAGGATAAAACATTTTAATGAACAGTACTTTCCATAAAATCAATAAAATGAAAAATATACGAAATTATATACATGTACTGATTTCTTTCGAAAATAGACAACTATGAAACTATGATCGCTTCCCCGACACAAACGGTACATTGTGGGACAGAAAATTGTAGAGAGAAACAAGCCGTATAACATAGGATACAACATTTTAATGAACAGCGCTTTCCATAAAAAGGATAAAATGAAAAATATACGAAATAATATATATGTACTGATTTCTTTCGAAAATCGATAACTATGAAACTATGAACCCTTCCCGGACACAAACGGTACATTGTGAGACAGGAAATTGTAGAGAGAAACAAGCCCTATAACAAAGGATAAAACATTTTAATGAACAGTGCTTTCCATAAAATCAATAAAATGAAAAATATACGAAATTATATACATGTACTGATTTCTTTCGAAAATAGACAACTATGAAATTATGATCCCTTCCCCGACACAAACGGTACATTGTGAAACAGGAAATTGTAGAGAAAAACAAGCCCTATAACACAGTATACAACATTTTAATGAACAGTGCTTTCCATAAAATGAAACATATACGAAAGAATATACATGTACTGATTTCTTTCAAAAATCGACAACTATAAAACAGCAAAAATTTTCGTTTGTGTGCATTCGACGTACGTTTAAACATTCTGCGCGTTCGGTGTACATGCACCTTAAAAGACTTTAAAATTAAAATAAGCATTAATTTAACTAAGGCTACACAACTTACCTTACTGAAAGCATCCTTGACTTCAAAAGACATGCACCCGAGGAACTCGCTCGTTCTGAAACAAGAAAAAACACGCTTTCGTTAAAATTCAAAAGGTCCTCGAAATGGCGACATCTGTCGCAAATTGTCGAATACAAAACACAGCCGCAGCATACACAAAAAGGTTCGGTATTCGCAGTAACGAAAAGCGTAGAGTAATGAAAAGAACAATAATAACAAAAGTGTGCTATATAGTTACAAATGACTTAAGACTTTGGTCTTTTTAAAACTGATTTGTTGCAGCTCTGCTTATAATAAGTCTTTTTTTATGGATCGGAAACATAATTTTTATATTTTTATTTTTGGTGCATTGCAGTAGAATTTCTGTAATATACTGAACTTAGTATTTTTCATGCTACAAAAAAGAACTCATATATTTCTTACTTATACATTTTTATCATTTTCTCAAGAACAAAAATTTGATCTCATTTGTAAAACATACTGAAAACAAGGCAAAAGCAGCATTGCGTATACAGCTTTATCGTTAACTCAGTCGTCCCACTACTTATTCATACTAAAAAGGTCAAGCCTGATTAAAATCAAGCGCCGAAGGAGTAAAATTTATAGCTACAATAAAATATTTAACAGGATATTTGTACTACGTTTATTAGCGTAGCATTGCAAAATTATACAGCAATTAAATAAAAAATACAGTACGACTTAAAGAAAATTAAGTAATAAATGGTTAAAATATGGAATTTTTAAAAAAGTGTATTTTAAAAAGTTGTTAATTGTTTACTCGTAAGTCGTAAGTATACCAATTTTTAGTCATCGAGATGATATTTTTTGTCTTTTTTAACTGATGGTATGGGGACTGTTTGTATTATAAATATTTATCTAGTTTTCATATATAATTAATTATTTAGTTTTGAGTCAATTAATACTTTTTCTTCCTCCTAGAAACTTATTTTTTTCTTTGAAACTTCTTACAAAATTGTTTAGACGTAACCTATACAGGGTGTCCCAGAAATAAGTGCAAGTATTTTAAGGGGTGGTAAATTTCGATAAAAGATATATATTTTCTCTTTATCATTTTTCAAATAAGTCCAAAATAACGGAGTTATTCTGTTTTGAAAATTTCCAAAAAAAATGATTTTTTGCTAAAATTTTGAGAACCACTGGATCTTTTCTGGATTTTCTTTCTTGTAAATTTAATCTACTGCCTATGTTGCCATATTATCAAGAAATTATGTTTTTTAACTAAAAATATTTCCAAAAATTTTTTAAAAAATTCCGAATTTTCAAATTTTTTTTCGCGAAAAAAACCTCATAGGCGTGTTTATGGGGTTTAACTATACTTCCAGTTAAAATACTGTAGCATGTTTTTTTAACTTGCTACCTTTTTGATAATAGCCCTTTCCCTTTTTATTAATTGATTATAAATTTCTCTTAATTAATTATAATATTTAGATATGTCTTTATAATTAACAGCAGCGGGTGAGCTACGCAGTGTTGACAGTTTCTTTTCAATTTATCTTTCTAATATTTTCCCCAAAATACCTGTTTATTTGGTCAGTACGGCAACGCCGCTAACTTCCGTTTTCTGATGTCATTTCTGGATTGTCAAAATCTTTGGAGATCCATTTTGGTCGATAATAGTTCTTTTCCCTCCGATCGCCATATTGGCGTGGCGATCGGGAGGTGATTGTCTTGCACTGATTTCTGGGACAGCATGTATATTTCTCGGTAATCTAGCAGATCATGGAATACTTATGGAGGAAACTCAATCATATTCAAATCTGGAAAACCACTTTATCTAAAGAAGAAAACATTCGACCAATGTGTACTACCAGTCATGACCTATGCATGCGAAACCTAGACACTTAAATCGGGCATTATAAAGAAACTGCAGGTCGCATAACGCTCAATGGAACGAAATATGCTGGGAATAACCAAGAAAAACCGTAAAAGAATAGAGTGGATACTACAAAAGGCCTAGGCAATAGATGTCATCCATAGAATCAAATCCCTCAAATGGCAATGGGCAGGACGCCTAGGAAAGAGACGAAAAACAGATGACCTCAAAAATTACAGCATGGTATCTACGAGGAATTAAGAGACCTAGAAGAAGACCAAACCTGAGATGATACCATGACAGCAAGGATAACTTGGGCAGCATAACCAACAATAGACAACACTGGGTCTAATTACAAAAAGAGGGATTGGTCGAATAAGCTGAAAATGACGATGATGATGATATTTTAAAATTAAATTTTATAATAAATTCACAAATCTTGCTAGGCAACATAAAAGTAATTTAACTAATTACTTGACCCAAAGAGAAATCGATAAAAACCAGACACACGCCTCTTTAACTATTTTTTCACCTAACCCAAATGGGGTGACTTTTACTTCATTACCAAAACAAATAGCACGACTAATGTTTGCAAGCCACGCAATTCATTTCTTGCAGTCGCTTCGTAAAATTTGATGGTTATCCTCGACTAAAACGTTTATACCGGACTCGGTTGTGAATCCTTTAAAGCAAATTTAATGCAATTCAGGAAAATAACAAGGTTTATTACTAATAAATCTTCTGGTTGGAGACATACAATAATGGGTTTTAAAACGAAGTAAGTAATAATATTTAAAATAATATAAATAAAAACTTAACTATCTCTCCTGGGGGGTATATCCCTCCCTTTTCAGGGTGCTCCAAGCCACTGAACTGACAATAATTATCCCAGTACTGTTTTCGTCAATGACCATTCTAATCATTGTCGCATTGGCATATCTACCTAGGCCTGTTCCAAACACCGGTACACCGTTGTAACACCGGTGCTGGGCTGACACCGGTGGCGAAATATGAGCTATCCGGTGTTCCGGTGACGACACCGACACCGGTGTTGATGATCGGATGAGATTAGTAAACAAAAATGGAGATTCTCTCCATTATTATTTAAGAATCAAAAATCTAGAATTTATTTAACAATTTGCACTTAAAACTGTATTTTAGACCTGCTATATGATCATAGAGAAAAATTACACAGCAGCTTTATTTATGATATTGCATTATATGCTAAATTAGGGGTTGCGCTATAATATTGATGCATTTTCTGTCAATATTTTCAAGATCCCCTTACAAATTTTCTATGTCATTACTTGGGCATGTTGTCTCGAATAAAAATGAACCCGATAGAAGTTTTAGAATATACAAGCAGGCTATAAAGCATAAACAGAATTTTAAACAGCAAAAAGCTCTGCATCTATTTTTATTATTAAACACAGAAGAGCTTCGATATATCTTATCGGCATACATATACAGTGAATGTTAAAAAGTTGTCGAACAAAAGTTTACGCGGGACCATAGACTTGAAAATTTATAAATTCCCCGGCACAAAATTCCGCCACCCTAAAAATTTGACTAAGCTTGAAACGAAAAATTGACAACCTTAAAACTTTGATGTAATTTAAAGTTTAGTATATTTTGTTCTAGTGGGCCAATTTTGATGTTTCTTTAAGCAGTATGTAGCCAAATTATTTGACTTTTTAATTTTTTCTAAATTAAAAATGAAACTCCCCATCTGTTAATTATACGAGGGAAAACAAAATGTTGATATTTTGGTAAAAGTTTGAAGCGCCCTGTGGAATATGTTAAAACAGCAAGTAATTTAAAAATAATTTTATCATCTATATACATCCTTTCTCGACAGTTTGTTTTTTGGTTCATCTCATTAGCCTTATTTTTGTTGGAGATATTCGTTTTTGAAGAAGACACTAACATTTTTTCGTAATTTTTACATTAAGACCATGCCTTTGCTTTTGGTTCTAGTCAACAGATCTAGTAAGTTCTGGTCCCGAAGCAGGCCTTCTTGACATAAGATTTGCTTCATTTAGTCTTCTTCTTATAGTCCGTTAGTAAATATGTACGTTCCTCAGATGCAATTCATTATACATTTGAAAAGCTGGCAAACGTTTTCTTAGCGATAAACTTACAATAAGTCGATCGCCAAGATTAGAAGTTCTCATGCGAAGGTTCCTGGACGTCTAGATTCCACTTCCTCATGGACGTGGTCGTAATTCAAAAACCACTCAGTATACTCTACGGTATTAAGGTATTTTTGGAACAGAAATTTTATAGCAAATTCACTGAACTAAACAAATATAAAGCATTTCATTTCAAAAACTAAAACTTAAGTGTAAAAATATATTTGACTCACCCTGTATATCTATAAAAATATTTTTTAAATATGAACTACCATTAAACACATATTTTGTAAAAGGTTTGGAGTGAAAATCTCAAATAGGAATCCTGATACAGAGCTTTTTCGGAACACGGAGTCATCTTGTATTTATGTGTGTTTATTTAAATACTAAATAAAGTGAAACGAAGTTACATAGGTAAACTTTGTAATATATCTTATTAATAATACAATGCAAAAAGTCTTATAAAAATTCGTTCACAGTAAATGAATTCCGAGGTTTGTATCCCATAAGGGCTTAAAGCACTCCACTATAAACTCGTTCGTGTAAATACAGATATTTCCAACGTATTACTTGAAAAATACCCCTTTCGGACATTGCCGATCGCCCGTCCATCAAATTAACAACAACAATACACCCTCGACACGACAAAGAGACCAATTTACCTCGTACGTCCGCGTTTATACTCGCCTCACTTAATCCCACTTCCAGTAAAGTGAAAATAATTCCGTTGCCGCGCGCGTGCTGTGTCTGTAGGCCCGAGCAAACCATTATTTCCAGCCAAAAATTGGGTCTATTGTACGGGGATTTTCGTGTACTACGTACGTATCATTAATAAACAAGAGGTGTTGTTGTACGGCTCTGGGCTGAACACCTTTCGGCATGCGGGTGGCAAATGGGAATTGTCACACGTTCGAAAGGGAATTGTTAAGTAAATGGGAGTGTTGGCACGAGGATTGTCGTTTGCCTGTTTTCTTTTTTAGCTCCATTACTTTAGATTTTTCAAACTGGTTAAATTACAGCTGGCGGTATAGACAATTCACAAAAGAAGCCATTAAACGGTTTTACATATTATTAACATAAATACCGCCG